TCAGTCTGTGGATGATAAACAGATGTTTTTATTTGCTTTACCTTTAGGAGGCGGCAGAGGTCTGCCATCAACCGGGACATGAATGGGGTGCCCTGGTCGGTCAGTATCTCCGCTGGTATTCCTACTCGGCTGCATAATAAAAACAGCTCCTTTGCGATCGCCGATGATGTCGCTTTCCTCAGGGGAATCGCTTCCGGATATCTGGTGGCGTAGTCGAGGATGACAAGGATGTGCTCATGTCCCCGGGCCGACTTCGGCAAAGGCCCTATCAAGTCCATGCCAATGCGGTTGAAGGGCACCTCGATGATGGGTAACGGTATCAGAGGGCTGGGGGTGGTCGTTGGGGAGACGTTCTTTGGCAGATGTCGCATGCCTGACAATACCTTTTAACTTCTCCATCCAACCCGGGCCAGTGGAACCGATCTCTGATTCTTTTAATCGTGTTGGCCGCTCCTAGATGTCCTGCCATCGGGTGAGTATGTGCCAGCTCCAGAACCGTCTCCCTCTTGGTCCTCGGGACAACCAATAGTGTCTTCCTTTCCCCCCGCCTCTCTGCGACACAGTATAGCAGACCAATTTGTACAATAAAATGTGGGAGGGGGTGAGGGCTGGGAAACCGTTCGTTACCGTCAATGATCCTGACTTGTGGCCAGCAGTGTTTCAATGTTTCGTCTTCACGTTGTGCCCTTCCGAAATCGCCACCTGCAGTTATCTGTTGGAATAGATCAAAGTAAAGGTTAGCCGATGATGACTCACCCCCTCTGTCGCTCTCGGTGGCCATCAGCGCTGGTTGGCGGTCCCGCTGAGCCCGTCCTTTGTTGTTTCTCTTCGGACGAGCCGATCGAGCCTGATGGTGGGTGAGGAGATCATCGAACCCCGGCCAGTCTCTGCCCAGAAGGAGGGGTACGGGAAGATCCGGAACCACTCCTACTTCGATGCGCCAGCTGCCCGACTACGTCGCGATGGTCACTCTCTGAGAGGGTACGTGGCGGGTATCCCCATGCACACACGTAATTGGGATTCGGCTTTTTCCTTCATGATGGGTCTTTAATGTTTTTGGATGAACTAAGGTTATGGCGCTTCCTGTGTCCAACGTGGCTGTTTGCGTTTTCCCGTCTAAGCACACTCTTCGGGTGGGAGCTTCGGGAGGGACGTTGCGATGTACCACGCACCCTGCCGTCCAGGCCGGGGTTGAGTGTGATGTGGGCTCTGTGGGCATCGGCTCGTCGACTGGGCTGGGGACCGCCGGTCTGCTGCCTGGTCGTGCTGTGCCCTCCACCGGTCGCCATGGCGCATTTACCCTCCGGGGTGGCAGAGCCGCTCTCTCCCCAGTCTCCCGGGCCACGTGGGCTTCCGCCAGCTCCACCGCCTCCACCAAGGCGGCCAGCGAGTCGGGATTCCTCATGCTGGTAAGTGTGCGGAGCCGTCTGGGTAACGCTCTCATCATCTTCTCAATCACCACTTTCTCAGCGACCTGGACCGCGGTAGGATCTCCTCCCAACAACCATAATCGCCCCAATCGAGATAAGTTAGCTGCTTGGGTACGTACCGGCTGCTTTTCGTCGTATGACCACTGAGAGAACTGTTGTGCTGCGCTTATGTTGGAGAGTCCCATTCTGGCGAGTATCTCCTTCTTCAATGCTTTATAGTCATAATTTTTCGGTGTCTCCAATGCAAAATATGCTCGTTGAGCTTCTCCAGTTAAAAATGGTGCCAACATCCTCGCCCAACTTTCCTTCGGCCATCTCTCTCTTTCAGCAATTACTTCGAAAGTGTGAAGGTAAGCATCTATATCGTCCAGGTCGCTGAGTTTAGTGATAAAACGGTGAGCGCTCACCTCAGGGAACTGGCTAGACCCGGCCGCTTGGCGGAGCTGTTGTTCCATTCGGTCTTGTCTGGCGGTGAGCTGTTCAGTTATCACTTGTTGTCTTCTTGAAATTTCCGCTAGATGGCGTGCTACTTCTTCGATTGACATGACTCAGGAGAGGATGACAGCCGAGCAAGAGAGCGTGAGTGAGAGAGAGAGAGCGGATGCCTGTCTGTAAACACAAGAAACAAGAAAAAAATTCAGCGATTATTTCTCCTTACTGGTAAAGTGCTGTTTTCTGAAATTTTTCCCTCTGATATAGCGCGCATTCTCCACCAGTTGTAGTGAGGCAGAGGGAAAACAGCAACACAGTTGGATAAGTTTACAGACAAGTCCCCGGAGGGTGCTTTATTTACAAAGTGTGAGGTGTGAAAACGGTGCTCTTCTTTGAGGTGAGGTGCTCTGGTGCTCCGGGAAGTAGGTGAAGGACAGTGAGTAGTCGGGTGTAGGATCGTCACGAACTGGAGTCTGCTGTGGAGAGACAGAGAGACAAGCATTAGCACAGGGAGTCATAGGGTGAATGAAGCTCTCCTTCTCCTGGCGTGGGCTTGGCTTATATGCCTCTCTGCTTGATGACATCCAGCTGTGAGCGATCCTGTGTTGATGATGGTCCAGCTGGGTTGAATTAGCGACCAGGGCGACGTGGCATGTGTACGCTCGTTACACTAGTAAGACATTTGTTAGCTTGTTAAGGTGTGTTTGATTAGGGTTGGAGCTAAAATCTGCAGGACACCGGCCCTCCAGAACAAGTTTGGTGACCTCTGCTCTATGCGGACGCTTTCTCTGCGTTCTACATCTCAAATAAGGAACTCACAAAAGATATGAGAATGTTTCATATTACTTACACATGCTTATTCCGAATATATGCGAAAGACACTTGTCAGATTTTATTTTAGAGAGCAGGCGTGAGGTTAAGCTGTGCTCTCTGTGTCATTTTCCGTCTGATTCAGGCACAAACTGATACGGCTAATAGCTACTCTGCCTGAGTGTTTCCACAGCGCTAAAGAGTATACTATTTGAGGCGTGACGCTTTTCCTGGTGACGTGGAGTCGATCCGCGAATCACAGCACATTATATTAACTGACCAAGCAGAGGAACTAGGAAATGAAATATGACGTTGTTTTTCATGTTAGCAGAGTAGCTGAAAATAATCAAGATATTAAGTAAGATATATAAAAAATAACATGATTTTTTTTTTTTTTACAAACTAAGCATGAGCACACATTGCTTTGCATCTTTTAAAGACAACCAAGCCTTAAAATTACACTCTGGTACCTTTAAGGTAAGTGGTTGCAAACGATTTATATGGGCTGAATTAAAAAAAAAAACTAATTAAATTTAGTAAAGTTCAACTTAATTTGTTTCTTTAAATTAAACCCATATAAATTGTTGGCAACCACTATACCTTAAAAAGATATAGTAAATGCAATAAATAGTTTTTCTTTTTTTTCAGTGCTCCTGGTGTTTTGGAAGTCTGTATACACAATTTGCCATTTGACCCGCCTTCACTAAACCTCTAAAATAAATCAGCTAAATTTTATTGCAACCCATTAAAACTATTCTTGCATGATGACAACATTATTTTCATCACAACCTCTGTGAATGTTTATCAGTGTGAAGTTTTTCATCAATGTTTATTCAGTAGTCAACATTAATTTTTGATTAAAGTAAATGGCAGTGGTTTAAAGTAACAAATTACAAACACTCAAGTTACTGTAATTGATTAGTTGTTTTCAGGAATTGGATTTTACTAAGTAGTTTTAAAATGTGTACTTTTACTTTCCCTTGAGTATATTTTAGTGCAGTGTCGGTACTTTACGCCACTATTTTCGTTTAACCTGCAGTCACTACTATATTTTTGATGTCTATGGGGATTAGAAAAATCAGTCCTGTGATTCCTATCCAATCAAAACGCACATAGAAGGTAAATCGCATCATAATGAACTACCTCAAGACATGGGTGATTAATAATTGCAGCATACTGTTTGGAAGCAGCTGTTTAGATGCATGTCACTGATGAGAAGATGATGGATGTTTACTGTATGATGACCGAAATGGCCTTAAACACAGCAGGCACAAGACATCAACATGACGTCAGATTGACGTTGTACCCGAACGTTGTGGGGACTTTGCATTTTGCTTGGAAATGAAAATCGGATTGACGTCAGAACGCCAACCCAATATCCGATGTCCAACGTAAAATCAACCAAAAATCAACGTCTAATGATTTTACAACTTTACGTTGTGTAGATGTTAACACTATGACGTCTATCAAATGACGGATTTTGGTTGCCATACCTGCCGAATAAATGTCAGTATTCGTCGTCAATGGATTTAGTTCACTTTCCAAGAAAACCTTAAATCAACCAAATATCAACGTCATTTGATGTCATTATTGGACGTCAAAATAACGCTGTCTTTAGACGCTAGATACACATTGAAATTTGGTCACCTGACATCACAACCTAAAACTAACCTAATATTAACATCTAATGATGCTGTGTGCCTGCTGGGCAATAACTAAATGCACTACAGAATGTCACGTTTACACACATCCACAAATTACATGTAATAGCATCAGATTTTTAAAGTGGTAATACTCACTACTTCGGAGTACTGTTAAAAGGGCTACTTTTTACTCCTACTTTGAGTAATATTTACAACAGAAACTTTAACTCTACTTGCACTACATTTTTAAACAAGTAATGGTACTTGAGTACTGGTAAAGGGTATATTTTGTAATGCTAAAAGTACCTGCATAAGTGTAAAAGGTTTTTAGCGAGACATTATTCATGAAAGTTAAAGCAGCAGATACTTTATTATGTGTGTGTTTGGTGTGTGCGTTTAGTGTGTGCCATAAACTTTTGTGGGGTAACAATGGTTTTATAGCTTGCGGGTTTAAAAAATTGACCCGAAGGACAGCTGTTGTAGCCTAAATATTTACAGCATTCCTCAAAATGATCAAAATAGAAAATAATAATTATTTTTTTATCTAAGTGTAAATGTTTGGGTCATTTTAAAAAAAGTCACCAAATTTCAAGACTAAAAAACATTTTTAGGGGTATTTCCTGCTGTTAAAATTGTAATTTTTTACCCATAAGTCAACAGGAGGGTTAAACACCTGAGTGACAGAAGAACAGTGATTGAGGAAAAAAAATAAAGAGAGAGAAAGGGAGGGCAAGAAAGAATGACAGATCTAGAATAACAAGACTAGCCTGAACACACTGTAGCAACGCAGCAACCTGCGCAGTTCATCGCGGGAAAGACAATCTGTGTCTCAGTGAGTATTAATGCACATTCATATTTTTATTCACTCATCTTTATGTAAGATAATCTATACAGTGGATTGATTTAAAAGTTTACTCTGTATAATAATCTTTTAAAAACTCATATCTGACCAAAGACCTGTTGTGTTTATTCTCTCTTATGGTATGTCAGAGGAATGCGGTTGTCGTAGTGGATTAATACGCACTTCCACCCAGGTTTCATTGCTCTTCGTATCCTGAAACTCTGGAATGAGAGAGAGAGAGAGAGAGAGAGATTTCTTGAAGTTAAACAGAACAACTTGTTATTCTGGTTCTTGCATTTCTCTATTAGGTGTAAACAGAAGATGTGACAGAAGCAGGTGTACACATCTAACACGGTAAGACCAGGCTTTAAAGCTTTACAGTGCTATCGAAGAAAGAAAACACTTTAATTTAACGCTAACAGATTGTAAAATGGTGAATAATGATTGTGATGCACATTGATAATGCTGCTTTTACAGGAATGATTGTAAATAATTAAATCACAACGCTGTAAAAAGCAATTAGTTGACTTTGATTTTGAAAAAAGTGATTAAATTTGCAGATTCATTCAAGTTAAGTCAACTTAACAGTTGCGAGTTACAATAGGTTTACTTTATTTTTAAGTAAAGTCAACTTTTTGCTTTAAAGGCAATGGGCTTACTCACTTTAAGTAGCTAATAACTTTTTACAGTGTATAGGAATGTTCAGCTGTAATCTCAAGAGCTATATTTTTGTGTCTTTGGCTATACAGAATGTGGGGAAATCATTAAAGAAACCTTTGTTAAGTATAATCGCTAGCATGGTTAATAATTGCATAGATTCAGCCACTCCTCCTAAACAGCAGAACAGAAGAATGTTTAGTGGTCAACATTGTAAACAAATTCCTTCATGTCACCCCAACACAATTCGATTAAGTTAACTAAATAGTTTTTACAAATTTAGGTGGATTAAACATAAAGCAATTAATTTGTCCCCATAAAACCTTAAGAATTGTGTTGGTTCAACTCATATTAACTACGTAGTTTGAACAAGCAACAAAAACTGATTTCTTTAAGTAAATGTAGTGGTTTGGGGTTATAACAGTGAGGTTTCTGCTTGCAAATATATGAGACGTAAATAATGGATTGAGAATCCAGTGTCAACCTTGAAAACGAAAAGAAAGGTTTGACTTGTTTTAAATTGAGAATTATTAAAGCGTAAAATTAAGAGCAAATCTTTTCCATTCTATGCTGTTTGAAGGTCACAAATAAAACAAATGGATTTGTTACTTTGTTTATACTGGTATGATTTTTTATTGTTTTTGTAGAGATTTTGTAGGGATTCAAGATGCTTTATAATCTCCATTTCCAAATGGATGCTCCATATATTTTCCAAAACTGTGTGGCTTGAGGATTCTGTGTAATCATTTATTTATTTAATTCAATTGTTGTATATTATATTATATTATATTATATTATATTATATTATATTATATTATATTATATTATATTATATTACATTATATTATATTATATTATTCATTCATTTATTTTATTTTCGGCTTCGTCCCTTTATTAATCTGGGGTCGCCACAGGAGAATGAACCACCAACTTATCCAGCAGATGTTTTACACAGCAGATGCCCTTCCAGCAGCAACCCATCACTAGGAAACATCCATACACACTCATACCAATTCACTTTATGGACTTGTGGGGGAAACTGGAGCACCCGGAGGAAACCCACGCCAACACAGGGAGAACATGCAAACTCCGAACAGAAATGCCAGCCGACCCAGCCGAGGCTAGAACCAGCAACCTTCTTGCTGTGAGGCAATTGTGCTACCCACTGCGCCACCGTGCTGCCCTTGTATTATTCATTCATTTTCTTTTCGGCTTAGTCCCTTTAATCAGCATATGTTTTACGCAGCAGATGCCCTTCCAGCCGCAACCCATCACTGGGAAACTCCCAAAACTCTCATTCACACACATACACTATGGACAATTTTCGCTTACCCAATTCACCTGTTCCGCATGTCTTTGGACTTGTGGGGGAAACCAGAGCATAATAATATAATATAATATAATATCATATAATATAATATAATATAATATAATATAATATAATATAATATAATATAATATAATATAATGTAATGTAATGTAATATAATATAATATAATATAATATAATATAATATAATATAATATAATATAATATAATATTTACCCTTTCTGGAAACGTAAAATTGACTCTGTTAAACAGTGATTAAAAGAGAAAAAAATTTTTTTTTGAAAAGTTTTTTTGAAAGAGTTTTCTTTTTCCTCATATCTGAAGTGAAAGTATGCTGGGATAAAGAAAAAGGAGATTCTCCACGCACATTTTTAAACATTGATTTATTATTATTCATTCGTACAAATGATGTTTGATACTTGGAATGATATAATGGAATGAGTGTTACCTTTTCTCCGAACCCCTAGAAAGGAGAAAAATATTACATATTATATATATATATATATATATATATATATATATATATATATATATATATATATATATATATATTACAAAATAATATAATATAATTTTATATATTTATTTTTTTAATGGTTTTATTCAGTAATTTGCCCAGTAAAAGGAAATGTTTTTCTTCCCTATGTAAAATTAACGTGTAATTCTATCCCCCAAAAAATTAAAATACATTGACCCTATAATAGCTTTAGAGTAACTCCACAACCAAAAAGCATATTATATTATATTATATTATATTATATTATATTATATTATATTATATTATATTATATTATATTATATTATATTATATAATTATATTATATTATATTATGTGTATGTTATATTATATTTAGATTTTAATACCTTTTTAATGTATTGTATTTAATTTGTTATATATCTTTATTTAAAATTTCGCCCAAAAAAATAAAATGATTTTACTTCCCAACTTAGAACTAAAAATCTAATTTTATTCTGAAAAAAAAAAAAAAAAAAAATCAATAGCCCTTGTGTAACCCCACGACCAAGAAACTCATTGGCCATAAAGATGTAATTGGTGTTTATTTGTATGTGTGTCAGCTGGAGGCCGCAGATGTGACTGAATGAGAAACAAATGTGGAGTAATGTATTGGCTATGTGTGGAATGTCAACCTTCTTTATCCCAGAGTCTTAAACAACGAACAAGTGAAACTCGCAAGCAATCATGCCATGAGCAGATCTACAAAAAACCCATTCATTCCATTTGTCTGGCAAAAAAAAAAAAAAAAAAAAGTCAGGCGTGTCTTAATTATAGGGAGTTGTGGATGACTGAGTCCTGAAGCATATTTTATTAAACCAGATAAAGTTTCTCTTAAGATGTTTTGTCCTACTCTGTTGAATGAATTCTGCTTAAAATGTCTAATGTTTTTTTTTCTTCCAAGTAGTCCCCTAATCCTCTTTGTGGTGGAATAATGCATTTTCTATAATGAACAGATTGAATGTTTAGACCCACAAAGTGGTGAACTTACTGTATAATTAAAGACGTGACACTACAAGCAAAAACTATTTTCGTCATGCATCTCTCTGTTTTTGTGTGGTGCATGTCAGATATACAGTTGTAGTCAGAATTATTAGCCCCCCTTTGATTTTTTTTCTTATATTTTTAATATTTCCCATATTATGTTTAACAGAGCAAAGACATTTTTACAGTATGTCTGATAATATTTTTTCTTCTGGAGAAAGTCGTATTTGTTTTATTTCAGCTAGAATAAAAGCAGTTTTTAATTTTTTAAAAACCATTTTAAGGTCAAAATTATTAGCCCCTTTAAGCTAGATTTTTTCGATAGTCTACAGAACAAACCCTCATTATACAATAACTTGCCTAATTACCCTAACCTGCAGAGTTAACCAAATTAACCTAGTTAAGCCTTTAAATGTCACTTTAAGCTGTATAGAAGAGTCTAAAAAACATCTAGTAAAATACTATTTACTGTCATCATGGCAAAGATAAAATAAATCAATTATTAGAAATGAGTTATTAAAACTATTATGTTCAGAAATGTGTTAAGAAAATCTTCTCTCCGTTAAACAGAAATTGGGTAAAAAATAAACGGGAGGGTATTAATTCTGACTTCAACTGTATGTAAAGAAAACATCCAAATATAGTTTTAAGGGTTTTGTCTGTTGCACGTTGTTTCATATAGTCAATTTGTGACTCTAGATTTTAAATATAATCCATATTTTTTCATGTTTTCCTTTTGTACTGAGCCATAAATCTCCACTCCAGGAGCTCTTATTCATCAGAGTTACAGTTTTATTAATAACTGTGTTTATTCTGAAGGATTTATCCCATAGATTTCTTCATATAGCATTGATCAGTTTATTTACAACATTTTGTTCTACAAAAAAAATTATTTGTTCCCCTCCCTGCCTGAATTATTTGTGATAAATAGATATTCCATAAAAATGCTGGCTTCCACACAATTCCTACATCAACACAAATCTATTCAATTAACTTTTTTTTTTTTTTTTTTTTTTTTACAAATTTAAGTGGATTAAACATAGAAGAATTAAGTTGTCTCAAAAAACCTAAGAATTATGTTCTTTTAACTCATTTTGAATAGGTAGTTTGAACAAGCAGCAAAGGCATTATTTGAGTGTGTTCTCTGTATTCTCTAATGCAGGGGTCACCAACCTTTTTGAAACTGAGAGCTACTTTTTAGGTACCAATTAATGTGAAGGGCTAGGAGTTTAATACAGAGTTCTTAAATAACAAATTTTCTCAATTAACTTTTAATTAATTTATTAACTTTTAATTAAAAGTTTAATTAATTTAATTAATTAGTTGTCAACAATGATTTATCAAGTAGGAAACAGATAAATATCAATATGCAAGACTTTATTTATCTGAAATAGTTTTTAAAGTTTATTTTTATATATAACTTAATGTCATTTTCAATTTTACATCAATGCAAGTGTGATTTTAAAAAGAATAGCTACAGAAATATTGGATGCAGCTTACTGGTATGTGGTGCTATGGTGAGCTATTTTTAGAACAGGTCCACGGGCAACTCATGTGATCCTCCAGGTAGCCTGCGGGCACCATGTTGGTGACCCCTGCTTTAATGTGTGAGTGATGCAATTTTACAGTTTGATCCTGATTTTATCCAGTGTCGATGATCTAATAAAGCTGTCCATTAAATGTCAGATATATTTTTAAATATTATATGGCACTGATGTTTTTTCTTCTCTTTTCACTTTATTTAAAGATGGCTGCTCCCGCAGTTGTACCCAGGAGTCGGCCGAAGTCTATCAAAGTATTGCCTACAAATGGTACAGCCGCTGATCTCAGTCCCATAGGTGTACACGCAAGTGTGTACCTTTTTATGCATATTGTACATAACACATAGACAAGAACAGTGTTTCTCAAACCTGGTCCTCACGCGCCGATGTTCTGCATATGTCTCTTTTTATTTAGCACACTAGATTGAAATATTCAGCTTATTAGAAAACTCCATTTACAAACCATATTCCAAGGTATATTTTCATTCAAAGTTGCAAATTAGACTTATAATTTGTTATGTATAACATTTATTTGCAACAGAATCGCCGTTTCTATGTAATGACCCAAAGAAAACAAAATCGTCACAGTTCCTGGTTAACTGGTCTCAAATATCTAAAAGAAAAATGGTATTTTCCTGTGGAAAGAGAAGCCACTACGTGCCTTTTCGTAAGTGCAGATGCTCAAGACGGCTCTGGAGGTAATAATACTGAACCACTGTGATGACAGACTTTGGCTGAGTGCTTTTAGAATGACCAAAACTACATTTCAGATGTTTTACAAAGTTAGTCCACTAGTTTATTCATTATTTCCATTATATCATGCACATTATTGTTATCAAATGATGTGTTAAAACTAAGTCACATGACTTTATTGATGCTCAAGCTGGAAATTTGACATGTGTTTTCATCGTTTGCACATTTCTTCTTATCGTATGAAAGATTATCCTACTCAGTTGTTGAAAAACAAATGTATGCATGTTTTCTAAAATTATGCACATCTTGCCCCTTCCATTAAGCATGTATATGCGATTTTAATAGAAGTGATTGGATGGAAACAGCTATTGACATGTTGCCTAAACAGAATTTATTTCACCCTACTCCCTTCTTCTTCATTACTCGCTACCTGAGAATGAGAAACCTTTATTTCACTTCAAAACGTTTAGTTGTGGATTTATACAAGGGCATTGCAAGCAGTGTCTTCTTACTAGAGAAGCGTGAATGACATGATGTACACCGCAAAAAAAAGCCATTAGTTTGCTTTACTTAAAAAATATAGTAAATTATTTGCTAAGTGATTAGTTGACTTTACTTGTATTACATTTTTACAAAAAAATTTTTTATTTAAAATAATCTTATGCATTTATGAAGTGTGCTTCACACAGGTGAGTGGGCTTGACAAACCACCTGTAGAGACACTTTTCTCTTTCTTATTCAAGGGGGAGGAGAGAGGGAAGGGTTTGCATAAAAATGGGACTTTCAGTACGAGCACGTTCTGATTTTCACAGAGGCAAACGAGAGAAATATGTTTACATGGACATCAGTAACTGAATTATTCGCCAAATTATTAATTTGTTGACTTTAACTGCAATTTGGCACTTTCACTTTGATTCAGGAAGATTTCATGCATGCCCCCATGACAAACGAGATATTGGATGCGAGGAACTGCTGGAAGAGTTTTGTTTTTATGGAATGTTTGATACTGCATGGCGAAAAGGGAAGAAAAAAACCTCCGCATTTCTCGGTAACTTAGATGCACTCAGGAGGCAGTGTCAGAAAGCTGTGTGTGTATTCGGAGAGCACCAATTATAGCAGATCAGTCCAAAATATTGTAGTGATAATAACGTATTGTAAACTTTGGAACTAAATATTTTGACTAAGGTATGTCTTTAAAAACTTAAAAAACTACTAAAAAAGTACTGCTGACAATACTAACAAATTTTGCCATCTGAATAAACATAAACAACAAACACTGATCACACACTTATACCAAATCTGTAGAGACAGGACAATCAACACCAAGTGGAGGCACGTCTTTTTTAAAAGAAGACGAGTGGCAAATCCGAATTTTACCATTTCCAGATGCAAAAAGCTCTCTGGTAAAACATGTTCCTTACAAACATATTTCTGTCACGTGTTAGCAGACCACTGTAATCCGCAAATGAATCCAGCTGCGCTCTCATAGCAGGGAATGGAAAACCAAACTTTGCAGCACATTTATAAATGCAACACTGACGACCCATTTCTCCGAACAATTCTTTTTCTTCCACTTGTTTTAATTACGGTGGCAACAAAATGTGGCGTCTCTTTGCCGTCTGAACACTATAACAGGTCTTCGAAGCTATCATGTATATTAATGAAGTTGCACCTCATACACAGTAGATGATGTGGAAAGTCTTGGAAGTTGTTCTCATGAATTAATGCTGAAAGCTCAAAGACGTCACAATGTAACCGCCGGTACGGACATCCAATCTACGCGCTGGAATTCACACAATGATCTTATATTCGTGACGCAGCTTCAAAATTAAAAACAATTCGAAAGAACGAATTTGCTCAAAATAACACAAAAACAACCAATTAATTTATTTTTTTTTTTGTGAAATGTATGTGTCCTAATAGTGTTTTTAGCAGCATGGGACACATTTATAATTGTCAACAGCTCAAAAAATGTGTTTTGGTGTTTTGTGACCCTTTAATTCTCTGATCACTAGAGTTCCTTTATATAATTAGCACTTCTTGTGTGTATTGCCCCTTCTTGTTGAATCAATGAATGCCTCTTCAATTGTAAATCGCTTTGGACAAAAGCATCTGCTAAATCACTAAATGTAATGTAAATGTTCATTGCTATAAACTTTTTAAGTAAATAACTTATGGGCACAATTATAACAATTAAGTCAACTTAACTGTTACAAGTTCAAATGGATTTACTCACTTTTTAAAGTAAGGTCAGCTTGTTGCTTTTAAGTCAGTGGGTTTACTCACTTTTTAAAATATTAAAGTAACTAATGAATAAATAAAATAAAAATTCACATTTCATACACTAAAATACCATAATGAAACCTATATACTCTCTTAAAACTGAAATCGTGGCTGAATATCCTATAAACTAGCATGCAGGGCACTAGCGGTGGAATTAGTGCAAACGTCTGAAGGGAGAAGAGAAACATATGAAATGTGCAGAGCTGTGGGCTACCAGGACCGGGATTGAGAAAGGCTATGCTTGAATGTGGGAAAATATATATTTCTTACAATATTACTCTTCTATATTTCATCACTTTCTATTGCCTATTTTAGTGAATGGAGGAGACAGAGTGAAAACAAATACACATCTGATTTATGCACAGAGAGAAGTTGTAAGTATGACTGTTATGGGATATTGTCTTAAAGGGATAGTTCACCTAAAAATGAAAATTTACACAGTATTTACTCACCCTCAAGTGGTTTTTATGATTCTTTTTTTTTTTTTTTGTTCATCTGTTGAACACAAAACAAGTTATTTTGAAGAAACCTGTGACCATTGACTTTCAGATTAGGATAAAACAAGCACAATGTAAGTCAATAGTTTCCAGCTTTCTTCAAAATGTCTTCTTTTGTGTTCAACAGAAGAAAAAAACTCATAAAGGTTTATAAAAAGGAAAAGGTTGAGGAAATGATGACAGAATTTTTCCTTTTGGGTTAACTCTCCCTTTAAATTGCAAAACAATTTGTTGAACAATTCATATCAAATTATTAAAAGGTTAAAACTAAATTAATTGACTGTATGAGTTTGCAAAGCGTAAAACCCTATCCAACTTACACTAGCCAATAAAACAAAAATAGAAATAGAAAGTCGGCACACCTTACAAACATACACAAATTTTATATGTAAAGACTGGTTTATACTTCTGCATCTTGTGATGGCCAGGACCTACGGCACATGCCTTGCGCGTAAATTTGCATTTATACTTCTGCTTGCTGTTTGTGTTGCTCTGCAGAGACACTTCCGAAGAGCTAGTCGGCAGTAGGTGTTTACTGTATGTTCTTCTGTGTCAAGTTTCTTCAGGTTTCTTATTTTTTCTGAACGCTACCTTAATGTACAAGTTGCTAAACTTGCTCATTCAGAGGTGGAAACTGGTGGACTTGCAACAACTTTAATCATAAGCTAAACACAAAACAGAAGTTTCTTTCTGGAGCTTATTTACGAGACTCGACTCTTGTAAACACTAAGCCGACACCAAGCCAGCCAATCACAGAGCTTGCTCTATGCATCGTTGCAGCATGTAGCTTTTATAAGAGGTGCACATCAGCATCGGCGTCAGCTACAAAGAGGGCTATGCGACTACGCGAAGGCAGTACCGGACCACATGTGTGCGCTTGACCCAGAAGTATAAACCAGCCTTAACTCCTAGTCGTCTCAACTTAAATTAATCAAACTGACTAAAGATATTAAGTTAAACTTTGTATAACTTAAAACATTTTGTTGAAACCTGATTAAATCATTAAAATAAGTTATAGCAACATAAAAATAGTTGTCTTGACTTTTTGTTATTACATATTTTACAGAGACCAGGTAGTGGTGACATTGCTTTTTCTGTAAAACCATGACAAGTTGTCCCAGGACTTCCAACCCAAAAAATATGCTTAAAGAAACCCTAATAATATAATATATTAATAATATAATGATTAATATCAATATAATATTAGTGATTGCAAGCAACATAATAAGAGACTGTATTTGGATGTAAATCTAATAGTTTTCTCCTTTTGAACACCTCCCTCTGTTAGGAGCTGGTGAATCACTGTTTTGCAGATGTGGAGCATTTCATGGCCCGTCTGCAGCAGACAGCAGAGGCTAAGAATATTCAGGAGCAGCTGAAGCGATCGAAAAAAAAGAGTCGGAAAAAAAACAAAACCAAGAAGAATAAAAAGGAGGACGGTGAGAAAGATGCTTCCGATGACCTGCCTACTTCACAAGCCCATTCAAAACCTTCATGAATCATGAATATTAAACTTTTATTTTTGTAGACGAGCCTACCCCGCAAAAGGTGACCCCACCATCAGAACAAGAGTTTGTGGATATTTTTCAGAAGATCAAGTATTCTTTCTGTCTATTGGTAAGATGGTGAATTTGACTCATCATTGAATGAACTTAGTGTATTTTCTGAAAAATATTCATTAAAAGAAACGTAGCTAGATGTAATGAGTTATATTTTATGATTTAATTAATGTAAAATTAAGTTAGAATTTTTATCAAAACAAATATTTACAAACCTTATGAGCATGTATTTTAGTTCTACTGACTTCCGCTGAAATATCTTATATTCATCAGTGTTCAGAACACATTTTTGTACTGTAAATGTCAGGCATAATAAAATTTACAGAAAGTAAACTGGCAGCATGTGTGAAATGTGCGTTTGAGATAATAGTTCAATCAAAAAAAATTCATTTTTTTTATTCTGTTGAACACAAAATAAGATATTCTGAAGAATGTTGGAAAAATCTAATAATATGCCAAAACAATCTGAAATTGAATTGTGTTAATTTGAGTTATTGACATTTGTAATTTAATAAATCTTAATTTATATATGTCGTTAAAATTGTTTTAAATTTTAATTTCTTAATTTTAATTTCTTAACTTGAATTTGAACTTCATAACTTGAATATTGAATGTCTAAAATTTTAGACAACTGAATTTTTCAAGGGTGAGTTTTTTTTATAGACGTAACCTTCAGATTTGTTGTGCTCATAGACTGCAGATATCCAAAAATACATATGACAAAGCTAAAATACATATGAGTTTAATTTTAAATTAGGTGATATATAGATTAAATAAAACATTTATTTTTACCTTTGTGTGTTGTAGGATCGCCTAAAGATGAAAATCTCAGAGCCCTCTTCAGAAGAACTCTTGCACCATGTCTTTGTCCCTTTGCAACTGGTAAGAGCATTACACACTTAGCAAACTTACAGATAAACGTTTTGATGCCGGATCACAAAACCACCAGTCATAATGGTTATTTCTTTGAACTTGAAAGATATACATCTTCTAAAACTCAAATAATTATGCTTTCCATTGATGTATAGTTTGTTGAGATAGAAAGATATTTGGCTGAGATACAGCTGTTTTAAAATCTGAGGGATCAAAAAAAAATCTAAATTCTGAGAAATTTGCCTGTAAAGTTGAACAAATTCTTTGCACTGCATATTACTAATTGACAATTTAGGTTTTTTACATTATAAAACAGTAGAAACAGTAAAAAATCAATGGAAATTGATATTTTTAACACCCTAATGATTTTTGGCACATGAGAAAAAATCATTTTGACCCATAGAATGTATTTTTGGCTAAAACTCAATGCTTTATCTCATTGTTGAGAGAGATAAAAACAGAGATGTCACATTTTATGATTTCATTATTGTTAAATTCAATTAGGCGTATTAATATAACAAACATTTACTAACATTATGAATCTTTGTATAAACATTATGAGTGTTTAGTTCTGTTGACTTCACAAAAAATGGTTTACTATAAATAGTGCACTGCTAAAGCCAAAAATATACCTGTGAGACATAAGACTGGTTTTGGTCCAGAATCATATTTAGCCTTTAAAATTCTTATGCACAATTAAGAAATCCCTGTTTTGCATTATAAAAGGGTCATATTTTGGTTTGGGGGTCTCCAACAACAGGCTGATATGCTTTCGAGGTCAAAATACACTTTCAATGTCTTATAATATGCGTTTTTTTTTACCTAATTATCACAACGACTCCTATATGATTTGTTCAGTGATTCATTTGTTTCCAAACCACTCCTTTGCGTGATGCTAGTCTGCGCTGATTAGTTGACTAGGTTCGGTGCAAGACAGAGAGAAACGTCCAACATGGCTATGACTATGTGAAAGCCCAATGCAGGAATACAATAAAGCAATGCAGTTAAACACCACGTATTACTCTAACTCCAAGTAATAACAACGACACACATTCAGTATTAATCCACACAGTGGCAAAAGTTGAACTATTTTGACAATTGACCGTGCAGCATGTGGGAAACGGCTGATGGTGATAGCTAAGGCGAACGACAAAGGATTGTGATTTCAGAAATGTTGAAATCAATAAAGGAAGAAGCACACGTCACATTTTTAACGTGGTTTACAATATGTGAATAGCCCCATACAGATTTAACCTGAGAGATACAGTACAAGCACTGATCTATAATAGACAAGTGATTGCAAGCCATATGGAGCGATTACAAGTTACAGCACACTACTAAATTAAATTCAATTAAATTCAATTCAATTCAGCTTTATTTGTATAGCGCTTTTACAATATATATTGTGTCAAATCAGCTTCACATAAATGGTCATAGTAACTGGATCAGGGTAGTTAAAATTTTAGTGTATAAGTTCAGTTTAGTTTAGCTCAGTTCAGTGTGTTTAAAGTCATTACTCCAATGAGTCCAAGCACTGAAGTGCAAATTCATCAATGTGTAGCTCTACAGATCCTGAACCATCCAAGCTAGTGGCGACAGCGGAGAGGGGAAAAAAACTTCACCAATAGGAGAGTGAAGAAAAAAAAACATTGAGAGAAACCAGACTCAGTTCGGCACGACCATTTTAATTTTTCCGCTGGCCAAAAGTCTTGTGTAGAGCTGCAGTCTCAGCGGTGGAGGCTGGAAGCTGGCCTCAGCGAAGACTCGTATTTAATAATGTTACATATTTTGCAAATTACACAAAGCGAGGCAACAATTTTAATGACACTTACATGTTAGGATGCAGAGGAAGAAGAAACTGGTCCATGTGAACTGCAACAGTTACTGACAAAGTCCCTGTCAAAGTCTGACAAAGTCTCATACGTATTAGTCTCTTAAATCTCGCATTGCAACGTAGGTTATTGTATCAAAAATCAGAAAAATGACAGGAACAAACACAGCACTAGGTTGGCTTTACTGTGGTATTGTTGTGAAAATTAACCCGCAGCTCAATCTCCATCTGTCAGGGATCGGCATCTTCAAGTCATGATCAGTCCTGCGATCTCTCATGCTCCGCTAATGTCTGAAAGGAAAAGCGCGTTCACGTTTTACCAGATCATATTTGATGGTGTTCTGTATCGACGTCGACACGTTCATTCCGATTCATTCATTAGACTCTGAGTCGAATATTTCATTAAAGAATCAATAGTTTTAAATACAGTGCACTTTCAGACTTAAAACATTTATATGAATACAAATATAAATGTTTTCATTCACTTAGTGCTGTGTTATACACTGCATAGAAGGGCATTTTCAAAAACCCATAATAGGGGCTCTTTAAAAATCGTTGTTGTTGTTGTTTTGCACTGATTCCATGAGTGGTAACATTTCCTCTTCTACCCTTAATTTAAAAGAGAACATTTTTAATTTCTGCAAAATAAGGAATTGGTCTGTAAAGGGTATGTTGCTGTATGTTGGCCAGATGGTGAAGACGACGGGTGGTCCTAAGTTGGCATCATCGATCTCCAGTCCCGCTCTGACCAGTGGAGCGATCTCTCTACTCCAGCACAATCTCAATGAGCAAGAGAAAACACTGTGGACATCACTCGGACCAAACTGGACCCTGCCATAGTCAGTTGCACAATTTACATGCAAATAATACTAGAATCATGTACTTGCCCAAATGAAGTTTGAATCTCAGTTAAAGGGATAGTTCACTTAAAAAATGCATATTCATGTACTCACCATCATGTTGTTTCAAATATCTCTGTAAAAAAACAAAAGGAAAAGTTGTTACTTTTCCATCATTGGGTTTCCATCCTAACGAATATTTTCAAAGTATGTCAAATAAGAATGTGAATTAAGTGCATTTCTCACTAAGCCAGGGGTGTCAAACTCATTTCCTGGAGGGCCGAAGCCCTGCACAGTTTAGTTCCAACCCTGCTCCAACACACTTACCTGTAGGTTTCAAACAAGCCTGAAGGACTCAATTAGTTTAATCAGGTTTGTTTAATTAGGGTTGGAACTAAACTGTGCAGAGCTGCAGCCCTTTTGGAACTGAGTTTGACACCTGTGCACTAAGCTATTATAGAGCCGCTGGCTGTAGTATTGGTAACCTAGCAACCAACAGTAAACAAGGCAAGCGTAATGGAGTCATATGGGTATTTATGTTTGCTACGTCAGAATTTATATGGCAAATGTGCAAACGGGCAAATTTACATTAACCGTATTTCAAGTTCAAAACTACCTCATGCTACCATTAAAAAAAACATTTTATGTGAATGGAAGGGAATTTTTTTTTTTAAATTTGGCATTTCTATTATATGTTTTTCCGGTGACACTTTAAAATGCACATTAACTCAGGGTGATAGAAAAATCTTAATGATACTAGGCAAGGCAAACTTATTTATATAGCACATTTCATACACAATGGTAATTCAAAGTGCTCTACATAGACAGGAATAAAAGACACAAGAAAATAAAATGATTACAAGAATTAAAATTGTATAAAAACAGATGTTTTTGTTGCTTGTATTGCCCTATGGTGAAGTTTACATTTTTTGGCTGTGCTATCCCTTTAAGGGCTACACTGTAAAAAATGTAAGGACAGAAAGTCAATACAACAACTGTTTTTACGTTACTTTAACTCATTTAAAGAAGTTAATCATGATTCAATTAAATTGTTTAAGTTGTACAAAGTTTAACCTAGTATTCTTAGTCAGCTTGATTGATGTAAGTTGAGATGACTGGAAAAGTTCATTTCATCTAACTAAAAAGGATTTTTTTACATTATACCCGGTTATTTAACCGCGCTGTGTGTTTGTTAGCTCTCAGCTCAGCGAGACTGTGCCTCAGTACACACCTGTCTTTTTGGATGGTTGGCAGCCGATAGCTGTAGACGCCAATGGACAACCAATTGAGGACCCCATAGAGGTCCAGCACAAACATGAAGCCCTTATACAGACTCAGCAGGTATGAGGAGACACACTTGCTGTATAAACAACCACAATGTAACAAACATCTTCATCTGCTTTCATTTCTTTTTCCACAGGTAATTGATCAGGCACGTCTGACTGTACACCAGGAGAATGACGGGTTAGTATGGACAGCTGTGTGTGTGTGTGTATGTGTGTCTATGTTAAGCTGATTTGCCCCAATCTACATTGTAAAAGCACTATAGAAATAGAGATAAATTGAATTGTGTGTTCCATACGGAAATCTAATATATGGGCACATATGAACATAAACAGTATATGAATTTATATCTTCTATATTTGTGTACATGTACATGTTTTGAAATATTTGTAAAATATTTACATTTATATATGTAATATACACTCACTGGCCACTTTATTAGGTACACCTTTCTAACTGCTCATTAACGCAAATTTCTAATCAGCCAATCACATGGAAGAAACCTAATGCATTTAGGCATGTAGACATGGTCAAGACAATCTGCTGCAGTTCAAACCGAGCGTCAGAATGGGAGAAAAAGGTGATTTAAGTGACTTTAAACTTGCCATGGTTGTTGGTGCAGAAACTTTTAGAAACTGCTGTTCTACTGGGATTTTCACGCACAACCATTCCTATAGTTCATAGAGAATGGTCTGAAAAAGAGAAAATATCCCGTGAGCGGCAGTTCTGTGGGTGCAAATTCTTTGTTGATGCCAGAGGTCAGAGGACAATGGCCAGACTGGTTTCAGCTGATAGAAAGACAACAGTAACTCAAATAACCACTAGTTACAATCGAGGTATGCAGAAGAGTATCTCTAAATGCACAGCATGTCCAACCTTGAGGCGGATGGGCTACAGCAGCTAAATATCACACTGGGTGCCACTCCTGTCAGCTAAGAACAGGAAACTGAGGCTACAATTTGCACAGGCTCACAATAATTTTACAATAGAAGATTGGAAAAACCTTGCCTAGTCTGATGAGTCTCGATTTCTGCTGTGACATTGGAATGGTAGGGCCAGAATTTGGCATCAACAAAATGAAAGCATGGACCAATCTTGATTCAGGCTGCTGGTGGTTTAATGGTGTGGGGGATATTTCCTTGGCACACTTTGGGCCCATAAGTACCATTTGAGCAGCGGGGCAATGCCACAGCCTACCTGAGTATTGTTGCACATGGATGTGCAGCCAACAGATCTGCAGCAACTGCTTGATGTTATCATGTCAATATGGACCAAAATCTCTGAGGAATATAACCAGTACCTTGTTGAATCTATGCCACAAAGGATTAAAGCAGTTCTGAAGGCAAAAATTGGGTCCAACCCAGTACTAGTATGGTGTACCCAATAAAGTGGCCGGTGAGTGTATAAATCGGATATATGGCAATATATGCAAATAACTTATATGACATTTTATATATGGAAAAATCAAGAGAAACTTAAAAAATATTAAATTGAAGTTTTGTTTGTCATTTTATGCAATATTTCACTTTAATTTAAATGTACTATTATTTTTATATCTAAATATGTTCAGTGACTAAAATATTATTTTAATAAATATGTCCGTTTACGAATTTATAGATGCACTAAAATATATGACCTATATTCAATGAGATATAGATAAACATATTCATTTTTTAAAATGAGCTGTACTCAGTTATGCTGAGCACTGTATGTAATTTGCATATATGGCCATAGATCAGATTTTTGTGTGTGTTTCTGATGGTTTTCTTGTCTCATTGTGTATGGGATTGTGTTTTAGGATGGAGCCTCTTCCTCCTAATGAAGAAAGGATGTATCGCTGCAGTTATGACTTTGTGGCACGAAACAGCAGTGAACTCTCAGTTCTACACGGTGAAAGTCTGGAGGTAATTTGCACAGATATAAAACACTAGGACCTGATGCGTTTTAATAGTATCATAATCAGCATTTGAAGTGGATCAAAAAGTTTTTCAAAATAGTCCTATGACAACAATAGGTGTTGTTTAATAGTTTTAGGACAACTTTGGTGCAAGATCCACTTCAAATGTTAATACTGTTGTTTTTATTCAGAAATCAGAATTATTAACCCCCCTTTGAAATTTTTCTTTTTAAAATATTTCCAAATTATGTTTAACAGAGCAAGGACATTTTCACAGTATGTCTGATAATATTTTTTCTTCAGGATAAAGTCTCATATTAGTTTTATTTCAGCTAGACAAAAGCAGTTTTTAATTTTTAAAAACCATTTTAAGGTCAAAATTATTAGCCCCTTAAAGCTATATTTTGTTTCGATAGTCTACAGAGCAAACCATTGTTATACAATAACTTGCCTAATTACCCTAACCTACCTAGTTAACCTAATTAACCTAGTTAAGCCTTTAAATGTCACTTTAAGCTGTATAAAAGTGTCTGGAAAAACATCTAGTCAAATATTATTTACTGTCAACATAGCAAAGATTAAATAAATCAGTAATAAGAAATGGGTTAATAAACTATTATGTTTAGAATTGTGTTGGATAAAATCTTCTCTACGTTAAACAGATATTTGGGGGGGGGGGGGGGGGGGGTAAACAGGGGGCTAATAGTTAAGCGGTTCAATAATTCTGACTTCAACTGTATGCCTTCATCCAAAATGTTGATTAAAGAAAAAACTATTTGAATTCAGCAAAGGTGTTTAATTTATGAAATGTGACAAATCTTTTTACAAAAGTAGTTTTTATTTCAAATAAATGCAGCTCACTTAAAGTTTCTTTTAAACAAAACAAAATTATGAAACTGTGATTTTTTTCTTTATGTATAAATATATATTTCCCAAGGGCATTTTAATGGTGGAAAATTTTTCCACCATTTTTTTAAACAGTTATATTAGTAACTAATTTATGATCACCAATCGCTTTTGTAGTTGGTGGTTCATTCCACTGTGGCAATAAATAAATAAGCTGATGGAAAATGTATGGTCCCACTTTATATTAAGTGGCCTAAACTACTCTGTAACTATATCAAAATATAAACAGTGTACTAATGTGTTCATTATGGATTGCAGAACCCTTGGTGCTATTTGGGGTAGGGTTAGTTTGATATGGGTAGGTTTAAGAGTTGGGTTCCGGTGTAAGTGATGATCAGTAGTGCAATTAAAATGTAAGTACAGAAATTAATTACAGATGTAATTACATGCAGGTATTTAATCAAGCATAAGTCACTGTATAAACAAGTATTTACACAGTATGTACATTGTAACAAATTATTAGTTTCAGTGAAAGTACATATTAGTTAAGGGCACTTAATATGAAGTGGGAGCAAATTAATGAATTTCATAATAAGTTACTAGTTATTTTGCAAGAGTAAAAAGTAAGTAGGTTAATTAGGCAAGTCAATAGACAACAAGGGTTTGTTCTGTAGCCAATTGGAAAAAAAACTTTCTTAAGTGGGCTGTACTGTATATTGACCTAAGATTTTTTACATTTTGCATTTTTTCTTAATTCCAGCCAAACAAAAGGAAATCAGACTTTCTTTAGAAGAAGAACTATGTTAATCAGCACTTGGGAAATATTTGAAAAAGAATTAAACTGAATATGTGTCCTTACTTGCCTTATAGTACTTATAGAAAATAATAATGATCTGACTTTCCCTGCTTTTAAAAGACACCAGACACACACACACACGCTCCCAGTTCATTTCATTAACTCTTTTCTCCTCTCTGTCTCAGGTGTTGGAGTCTTCAAAGCGATGGTGGAAGTGTAAGAATAGTTATGGCCAAACTGGCTTTGTTCCACACAATATCCTCGAGCCCATCAATCACGCTGAAGTTGACTCTACTAATGTTGTAATGCGCAACCAGTCCACGGTAATATCACACACATACACACAAACACACACACACACATACTCACACACAATCTGCAATCGATAACATGCTCGCATGCTTAAAGGGTCATGAAACCCTACTCTTTCAGTTCAAGTCTACCTCAGATTTATTTTCGAAAAAATGCTCCAAGATGGGCGTGGAGCACTGCAAGCAGAGGGAGGAGTGGGCGTGGCTAGCAGAACATGGGGAAAAATGTAAGGAGACACAAAATTTTATAGTTTACAAAGTTAAAATGCAAAGAAACAAACAGTAAGTAATGAAATGCCCTACTAAACATACGTTAGCTTATTTTTAATTTCAAATGACATATAGGCTACACATAACCGCAATTTGTTTTATCATTATGAAGATAATCATGTTTATACTGTATAAACACTAATTGAGGAGGACTTCTCTCTACCTGAATCCCCAGGTCTGAATGCAGACACAGTGGATAAGAGTACAGCAGGTCTGTCATGTCTATTCCAGCCATTATCCCTGCCGTGAAAGTAAAGAATGAGGAGGCTCATCTCTCATCCTCGTGCTGTAGATGCTCTGTTTAACAGTTTAACAGCGCTGAGAAGCGCTCAGTTTTTCCACGTACAATGTCAGCCATGTAAATAACAAATGCTCCATGGCACGACACAACTGACTCTTAAAGGGAATGGGAGATGAGACTCTGATTGGTGTATTCTCAAAACACACCCCTAACTCATTAAGAGAATATACTCAACCTTGTTAGACAATGCGCCACGGCGCAGAGCAGATTTTGTTCGTCCGTATAATAGCAAAAGTGGATAATCTCTGACATGCATTTAATTGTTTTGCACCCTGCACTTTATTCTTTGCGCCTAGATTGTTAAAATAGAACCCAATGTGTCTGAATGGTAACAAACTCAACTGATAAAAGCCAAAGTCTGACAAAAATGCTTGATGCAAAGACAGCTTGGCTGTATCGGTAGCCCAGACTGCATCGCGGGGAAAGCCATACAACAAACTCTGTGGATCATGGAAACAAACACATACAAACCTTCATGAACGACTTGGCAGGTCTGTCATCGGAAATCACTTGCTGTCATGAATAATTAGGAAGCAGGGTCTAGAAAGGGATAAGAAAACTCAACTATGAATAATAATAAGAAACCTACATGTCATCACTCCACTAGCAGATACACTGATTTTGATCCTACCCCAATAATGATTTTAATCCCAGAAGATGAAATTAGCTGACAAAAGCTTAAAATTATCCAGTTTTCCCCATAATTAAAGCTGACATTTGTTAACTTTGTCTTAATTGATGCTCAACGCACACAAATCTGATAAAATCTTTTAAAAAGTACTCCAGGGTGTCTTGAACCTTTAATCACAAACACATTTCTATTATATTTGTGCAGAAAGCTCCCATCTCTCCGCTGAGAGGAGGCAGAATGTCGTACGCTGCACCCAAATCTGAAAGTGCAGTCCACCCTGATCCACGGCCACTCAGCATGCCATCATTTGCAGATGATGGAGAAAAAGGTACTTTTTTAAATAGTTTGGTTTGTTTTAGTGCTGTCAAACTATTAATCACAATCAAATACATCCAAAATCTGAATTTGTGTTTATGTAATATACAGTTGAAGTCAAAATGATGAGCCCTTCTGTAATTTTTTCTTTTTCAAATATTTTCCAAACGATGTTTAACAGAGTTAGGAATTACCCCCCTTAAGCAATACATATATATATATATATATATATATATATATATATATATATATATATATATATATATAAATATATATATATATATTTTTTTTTTAATTTATTTATTTATTTATTTTTTGCTACAGGACAAACGACAATGACTTAATCATGACTTATACAATGTTAAGCCTTTAAATGTCACTTTAAGCTGAATGCTAGTGTCTTGAAAATAAAACATTATGTACTGTCATCATGACAAAAATAAAAGAAATCATTCATTCATTCATTCATTCATTTTCTTTTCGGCTTAGTCCCTTTATTAATCTGGGGTTGCCACAGCAGAATGAACCGCCAGCTTATCTAGGATACGTTTTACACAGCGGATGCCCTTTTAGCTGCAACCCATCCCTGGGAAACATCCATACACACTCTTTCACAAACATACACTACAGACAGTTTAGCTTACCCAATTCACCTGTACCACATATTTTTGGACTGTGGGGGAAACCGGAGCACCCGGAGGAAACCCACACCAAACTGCGGAAAACATGCAAACACCACAAAGAAATGCCAACTGACCCAGACAGGGCTCGAACCAGCAACCTTCTTGCTGTGAGGCGATTGTGCTACCCACTGCCCCTTAAAAGAAATCAGTAATTAGAAATTAGTTATTAAAACTATTATGATTAGTACTCTTCTCTCTGTTAAACAGAAATTGGGGGAAAAATAAAAAGATTAAAATTTAACTAATATATATAAACAGTAAATATCATGAATGTCCAAATATAACAAACGTGTCATTTATCTAAGTTCTTACTGAAATATTGTTGTGTGTTAACAGTTGTGTTGATGAATGATGAGCTCATACAGCGATTGGCCAATGGGAGGGCAGCATCAGTACGGCCAATGGTGATCAATAAAGCCAATGAGACAACGGTGCCGCTGGATTATCACTCTCCTCAAGCTGAGGTGCAGGAGTGGCTCAAAGCCAAAGGCTTTAATAATATGTGAGTGACACACACACAAGTTGATATTGGTAGTTTAAGAACACTCTCCAGAGACATTGTATACACTACAAAAACCTCTTATTATATTACCTTACCCTACTAACCCAAGAAATCTGTGGCAAAATGTAATGTGAAAAGACCTTGTTAAGTATGACTAGTATGTGTTTTGAATTATGAGGACACAAGGCATGTTCTCATAAACATGTACTGTAATGGAGTACATACTCATGTCATTATTACGGTGGCCGAGAAATCTTAACATGCTACAATTTAAGAAAACGCATGCAATTGCAAAAAATCCCAGCAAGATGAGAAAAGATCTTCATCTGTTTGACAGCACACATGCTGCAAATTCTCACAACGCAAACACATTCAATGAAACACGCTGCACTTTCTCACAACATGTGCAAATAGCTCGAAACACAACAGAAATGTTTTAAGACCCTAAAACATGACGGACCCGGCAATTCAGGTCATGGTTATTTAGACTAATAAAATAAAAGAATATGAATATATACAAGAGAATCTGGATGTTAAAATAAACAAACAAAAAAACAAACCTTTCAAAATTCACCAACAATGACGCTGCTGACTATTGCTCAGTGAAGGTCACGTTCATGTGTCCCCTTAAAACATTTCCCTTCTGTTAATTTGTTTTTGCAAGTGTTGTGTAAAAATCCAGTTCGTTTTATTAAATTGTTTGTTTTGTGTGAAAATGCAGAGCGTTTTTTTATGTGTTTGCGTTGTGAGGATTTGCAGCATGCGTGCTGTCAAACGGATGAAGATCTTTTGTCAACTTGCTGGTGCTGTAATTGTACATGTTTTCTTACATTTCAGCACATTAAGCTCTCTCGGCCATCGTACATTGTACAAATTTCTGTCCTTGTAAACCCTTGCGACCAGTACCTACATGCAAACATTTACACTTAGACATTCAGTGTGAAGCGGATAAACTTGATGATATACCTCTATCTGTGTGTGTGTCAGTACTGTGCAGAGTCTGGGGGTCCTGAACGGGGCTCAGCTCTTCTCTCTGAACAAGGAGGAGTTGCGGGCTGTTTGTCCAGAAGAGGGAGCCAGAGTCTACAGCCAGATTACTGTGCAGAAATCACTGCTGGAGGTAGAGATGGGAGAAAAATCAGTTGAACAAATTGCTTTTGTCAAATATTCAAAACACAGCAGGCTGGCGACACCTGCTGGTTAAAACCATGCAAATCCAACAAAAAATTCACCACAAAATGAAAGTTTTCTTACTATTTACTCACAGTAAATTGTTCTAAATTAGTTCTAAATTTCTGTGGAGCACAATTGCATTTATTATCTTTTAGCATTTGAGCTCTGGCGGCCACGGTAATATAGTAAAAGTACTACAGTTTAATAGTTACTAATATTTTGTAATTTCCCATAACATATTAATCTTAGTGAAAGTTTAGGGTTAATGAAAATAAACCCCAAAAAATAAGATTTAAAAAAAAGAGAGGGAAATTCGCAGAAATGAATAATGATTGTCTTCATTTATGACCCTAAACAACAAAAACCTTATATTGCAATGGTGAATTTTATCAGAATTGTATTTTTATGCTAAACATCGTAAGAGTATTAAGTAAAGATCATATTCCATGAAGATTTTTTGCAAATTTCCAACCATAAATAGATCAAAACTCTTAATAGTAATATGCCTTGCTTAAAGCTTAATTTGAATAGCTTTTAACTGGATTTACACATTGATTGCAGCCAGGGAGTAGATTTGCTCTTGACCTTAATGGGGATATACATCCCTAGAGCTGCATTGAACAGCACGAATTCTGTTTCGCGCATTTAAAAAACACAAATAAAGTACTTAATCATATAAAATAAACACTTAATAATACAAATAACATCGCTTCCCATGTTGCAAATTTACATTAGTCAATTTACATGACTTTACTGCAGTCAGGCTTTGAGGAGGTATGAATGTAGAGTAATTTAGAGAGGTGTGAGACACAATTTAACTGTTTTATCTCGATTATTGTTTCTTATAATCATGTAGGCTGAAACTGAATTTCGATTAATTGGTTAATAGTATCACGGTCAACTCGTAGCAAACTTGACTTTGTGCACATGTAGGTTACTAAGTGTTGACGGAGCATTATTTTATTTTGAAGTCGATTCAATTATTGGTAGGGACATTTCAGTAATTGGTGGATATTGGTGGGTACACATCCCCTCCCTCCATGCCTATTCTACATCCTTGGAATCCAGATATTCAAATTGTAATATTTCAGCCAAATATTGTCTTATCCAAACAAATTAATCATCAGTAGAAAGCTTTTTTTAACCAACTTGCAATCCAAATGTCCAACAATTGACACTAATGTCTGTTTTTGTAGTCCAGGTTTACATATTATGCGTTGCTGTATTTCAGGATGTGAGGAAAGCCACTGAGCTAGAGGCCATAATGAAGAAACAGAAGATGAAGGCTGATCTGAAAACAGAGGGTGGAGAATTTTAATTTCTCACTCCCACAATCTAACAAGCATTTATGTTGACGCCTGAACAGACAGGTGTGGCATGAATCAAGTGTTCTCTAACTACACTACAATGATCTCTGCTGTTTTTACGTCATTGGTTATATATAGATATCTCATCCTTACCGCCTTAACATATAAAAATCAAATCCTGTGTATTCCTCGATGTATTGTATAAATAAAATAAATAAACATTGATGGTGTTCATATTTTATGAATGCTTGTCATTTTTGTGAAATGTGCTGTATAGTGTACAATCTGTTTTTAATTCGACCTTGCAACTGCTGGTTTGATGAACAAAAAGTCATTTGAACATTTAATGAGCCCCTATTATGGGCTTTTGACCCATGCAGTGTGTAACACAGCTCTAAGTGAATGAAAACCTCCATCTGTGGGTTAAATCTGAAAGTGCACAGTGTTTAAAATGATTGATGCTTTAATGAAATAGTCGACTCAGAGTCTAATAAATGAATCGTGTTGGGTTTGGATCTTTTGCTTGAACACATTGACGTCGATACAGTACATCACCAACTATGAAGTGCCGGTTCTGGTAAAACGTAAACGCACCTTTCCCTTCAGACACTAGCAGAGCGTGGGGGACCACGGGACTGATCATGACACGAAAATGACGATCACTGACAGGTGGAGATTCAGCAGCGGGGAATAAAGGGTTAAAGTTAATTTTCACAACAACACCACAGTATAGCCAACCATGTGCTGTGTTTATTCCTGTCATTTTTCAGATTTTTGATACAATAACCTACACTGCAATGCCGTATTCATCGGACGTTTGCTATTAAAGGAAGGAGCAGCAGAGACTATTATGCATGGAACTTTGTAAGACTGTCAGTAACTGTTGCAGTTCATATGGACCAGTTTCTTCTTCCTCCGGATCATAACATGTAAGTGTAATTAACTTAAAAGTTGCCTCGTTTTGTGTAGTTTGTAAAATATGTTGTAAACTGTGTCTTGTAATCGCTCCACGCCCCTTGAAATCACTTATCTATTATAGATCAGTGCTTGTACTGTATCTAGACCACCAAAACTAAAATATGACCTTTAATAATGCAAAATAGAGGCTCTTTAAGTGGAAATAGAGGCTCTTTAAGCTGTGTAAATTCAACTCATTTTGATTTAAAAAAAAAAAACTATTTTACTGCTATATTTAAAATTTTGTCGAATAAATCACAAACATTTTAATTTGATACGACATCACTTAAAAATGTAGCGAGGTTATGTAAAACCACTGTAAAATGTTAATATTTGACCACAATAAAGTATCATAGAAGTAAAAGCAAAATAAATAAAATAATGGGGTGACACGGTGGCTCAGTGGTTAGTTGCTGGTTCGAGTCCTGGCTGGGTCAGTTGGCATTTCTGTGTGGAGTTTGCATGCCCTCCCCATGTTGGCGTGGGTTTGCTCCAGTTTTCCCACAGTCCAGAGGCATGCGCTATAGGTGGATTGAATTAACTAAATTGGCCGTAGTGTATGAGTGTGTGTTTAAATAAATATGTATGGGTGTTTTTCAGTACTGGTTTGCAGCTGGAAGTGCATCCGCTGTGTAAAAAAAAAATGCTAGATAAATTGGTGATTCATTCCGCTGTTGCAACCCCAGATTATTAAAGTGACTAAGCTGAAGTAAATTAATGAATAAATAAAATGATTATTAGAACTACTTATTATTTTTTTAAATGATAAAACTGTAAAAAAAAAAAACGTGTAAGTTTAAAAGTTTAATTACTATATCTGCAGAATGGGTCCATTTTAAAAGAATCCTTTCTTTGAACAAGCTCAGAACAATCGAATCACTGGGATGAATCAAAGCTGATTAAAGCACTCATTTGTTAATGTTGTAGATTTATAGAAGAGCTGAAGTTTACCCCAAATAGTATGGCGCTCTTGAATACTTTATTCCGATTGGTCTATCACTATGGTTTTGAGCCCTATCGTTCAATAGTTTGGTATTACAGCCATCTAGTGGAGACTAATAGAAACATCAACTAATGGCTACAAATTAAATACAGATTTATGAAAAGATTGGTTTGTTTATTTTCATAAAAATATTTCAAATAAATGTAATAATTATTATAAAATAATATATGTTAATTAATTACAGTTAGTCTGCATAAACACAGATAGGACTTCCTCACGCCGGAAATCTCCATTTGTGTAGGCTTCTATTTGTATTGAGCTTATACACGTGCGTCAGCGGTTAGAATCTGTTCGAAATACGTCACAAATGGAACAAACGCAAACAGTCACGCTGGCTCCTCAACACTTCAGGTCACATTATGAAGAGGAAGAGCCAGCACACAAAAGAAATCTTTAAGTATCGTTGCGTTTTTTTATCACATACAAACATTTAAAACGTATTTAACGTAATTATTAAACAACTGAAACTATCAGGCCTAATATGGAAACCTCAAGAGAGAGGCCTGATGGGGGAGATCGCGGATATTTGTAACATTCTTTACATTTCTCTCTATATCTTGGAGATCTTTTAAGCCAAGGTGTTCAACATTTGTCTGAAACTAGTTGCAGGTACTTATTATTAAATGACATAGAGATTATCTTTGCAACACAAACAGTAATTACTATTTGAAAAGGAGGAGTGAAACGGTAAATAACCCATAGTCTGGGTTAGTTGAGACACACTTTCTAATATTATAACAAACAAACGATCAAATGGTTGTAAATCCAGCTTTAAATTTGCTGGAGGTTGGTGTTAGCATTTCATTAATGATACCAACCAAGAGATTTGTTGGTACAACTGACCCTGGGTCTTGTAGTCATGAATTTGCTCACCTTACAGCTAACAGCTAACGTTAAAGCTTTATTACCAACATTATGCATTAAAAATATCTACACAGTTACATAATTGACATAATTTAACTTTGATAGGGTTTAACTACAAATCTGCCATTGCTATCCCAAAAATTATTTAAGTAAAACATTACTTTCTTTGCTCAAATGTAGTATTTACCCTCTAGCGTATGCTGTGTCTGTATGTGGAGTGAGGACTAATAGGAACATGTATGAAGTGATTCTGCTTTATTGTAACTACAGAAGTTCTTGGTAATAGAGACTGTACATGTTACAACTATCTCTGGTCTCCTCTAAATCACATATACTTGTCTTTTGAATTTTTAAAATTGGCATGAAGCATCTAAAGAAATGGGAAACACCACTGTAATGACAGGTAAGTGAGGGTCAGGTGTTTCTGTTGCAGGTAATAAGATACAGCAAAGGGAAAGCAGGATATACACTTGAAGAACTGGAAAAGAGCTTGTGAGTCACTAGAGATCAACAATCAGGTCCAGATCTCTTCCCATTGAGTGGAGGAACTATGACATCACCTTGTAGGCCAATTGGCTGCTTGCATAAAACTGGTTGCCTCGATAGGATTTTCACACAGGCTTTTTTCGAGGATCGCAAATAATGAGCTTTGTGTTCAAACAGTTCATTAATCTCACAAGTTTTGTCCCACCGAATAATCCTCACATGACAATAGAACTTTTAGTACTTTTGGATCCTAAATGCAAATGCAATAACTGAAAAGCTTTCGTTAGGCTATAAATGGACTTCGCAGCCTTCGCACCACCCTGCTACAGAGGCTACCAAGGCCTTTACTACCTTCTGCCTGGCCATTCCTGCTCAGTTTACTATCCTCCTGGCATTCTGTGGCTTCTGTCTTCATCAACTAGGAATCACCAGCACTACCCCTTGCATCTGTCTGCTCCTTCCAGCACTTACAAGCACTCCCCCTTTCATCCATCTGCTTCATCCAGGACTCACCAGCACTACCCCATTCTTCACCTGTTGGATTGTCACCTAACCCCTGTTTTCACCCATTATTTTCAAACTCAAAAACCTCTTGCACTCATTTTACATTTGGGCCATCCTTTCTGAGTCTTTGACAGTAGGTCCACAAAAGACAAACAAATACATATTCTTATTATAATCTGGACCAAATAAATGGCATAGATGAGAAAAATCATAATAAAATTTACTGTGTTTTTAATTATTAAAAACTTCTTTCTGAGAAATGGGTAAAACCTGGTATACATTCAAAGTATATATAAGTCTTTCATGTTGACAAATTTAGCTTGTTCTAAAATTAATAGATTTATTTATTTACACTGCATATTTAATTAAACTACACTATCTGATAAAAGTCTTGTCGCCTGGCCAAGTTTTAGGAACAACAAATAATAACTTGACTTCTAGTTGATCATTTGAAGTGGCTTATATGAAAGGCAAAGGCCTCTGGATTACGCTTAATTTACCAAAATAAAATATGATCATGCCTTGATTTTTAATTATTTAATTAGGGCAGTAAGGTCTGACTTTGCTAAAACAAAAGTCTTTGTTCTTTGTACAGTCTAGAATATAAAGTCATGCTGCAGTGGAAAAAGAATTAATATTGTGTATGACTCCCATGAGATTGGTGGACTGCATCCATACATCTCTGCAATGACTCGAATAACTTATTAATAAAGTCATCTGGAAAAGCAAAGAAAGCGTTCTTGCAGGACTCCCAGAGTCCATCAAGATTCTTTGGATTTGTCTTCAATGCCTCCTCCTTCATCTTACCTCAATAATGTTTATGCCTGGTGACTGGGCTGGCCAACCCTGGAGCACCTTAACCTTCTTTGTTTCAGTAACTTTTTTTTTTTTTGTAATTGAACTTTTTTATTTTATTTTGAACTTTTATACCCCACACAACATTAAATTCACAATACAAAATCAACATTCAGGGAAATAATGTAAACAAATTATAATAAATATAATAAAAATAATAGCAAAACAAAAATTATAATGAATATAAAATAATACAATACAATATAACACAGTCAAATTGACAACCTTTGAATTTTCCTATTATGTGCTCTCTGAACATTGCAAAAAGCTACCCTATTTCTGATGGGTGTATGGGTGGAGTCCTGAAGTCTTGCCAACATACGTTCATATGATGCAGTAGAAGTCATCAGTTCAATCCAATCCTTTAAAGAGGGAGTATTTGAGTCCAATTTCGCAGCACCAGTCTAACAGCAATAATACATCCTGCGACGACTAACCCAGCCTGTGCTTTAAATATTTCATTCTGTAAAGTGGATATATCACCAAGAAGACAGACTCTTGGGGAATAAGGTAAAGGTTGTCCCAGCCATTTCTCTAGGTTTCAAATAACTCTTGTCCAGAATGCAGCCACCAAATGACAGCTCCACATTAAATGTAAAAAAGTGCCCACAGAATGACCACATTTCCAACATTGGTTATTTTTCGTTAATCCTATTCTATTCAGTCTTATGCTTTCAGTAACTTTGATGCAGAGGCTGAAGGATAAGGAGGAGCGCTATCCTGCTGAAGATTGGTGTGCTCTCTCCTGTGGTTTGTAATGTAATGGGCAGCACAAACATCTTGATACCTCAGGCTGTTGATGTTGCCATCAACTCTGCAGATCTCTCGCACGCCCCCATACTGAATGTAACCCCAAACCATGATTTTTCCTTCACCAAACTTGACTGATTTTTGTGAGAATCTTGGGTCCATGTGGGTTCCAGTGGGTATTCCACAGTATTTGTGATGATTGGGATGCAGTTCAACAGATGATTCATCAGAAAAATCTACCTTCTGCCACTTTTCCAAATGATCAACTAGAAGTCAAGTTATTATTTGTTAGTCTTACAACTAGGGTCGACGACAGACTTTAATCAGGTAGTGTACTATTACACTGATACACACATATAAATATATATTTATTTATTTTGCACTTTTGTCTCCTTTTGTAGTGTTAAAAGTCTTTTATTTTTATGACAAGTTCCTAAGCTCAGCCGAAATCTTCTCTTTCAGTCTGTCTCATCCCTCTGGTTCTGCTTAAGTGTTATAAGTCAGTAAATCTGAGCAAGGCCGATCTAATCCCTTAAGAGTGTAATATAAGGTGTCAAGGAGTCTGGGATTAGCGCGTGCGTGTGTTTCTGTCTGTGTTCAGAACCACAGCTTTAGCTTCTTCAGGGATTGCTCAGCCTTGTGTTTCTGCTGCTTGTAATTCATTGCAACTGGAGGTTTTAAGTCTAGAAGAGTGATGTCCAGAAAACAGAAGTAAGTGAAATCTAAGCGCTGGTTTGAGTTTGGAAATGTGCACAAATGAGTCCCTTTTTTAAGAGAGTCTGGCCTGTATTTGAATCTAAATGCTTGTGAAGATTGTTTGTTTTCATTTAGGTGGAAGGAAAATCTGATTGTTTACCCTAAAGCTGTTAAGTCAAATCAAAAGAAGAAGGGGAAGGATCCAGCTCAACTAACACAAGTGAGTCTTTATTGGTGTCCCATGCAAACACGTTCTGTTATTGGTAATGCCAGTGTCTTCATTACTGTGCTTTGATATAATATTTGCTAAAATGTGAAGGAAGAAGATGATAAATGTTTTTACTAAGTTCTTAAATTTGTCTTTATGTGAGTTTTTAATCTTTATTTCCAGTTTACAACACTCAAATTAAATTTCTGTTTGTTCAATTTACTTAATTAAAATGAGCTGAAACAACACAATTCGTAAGTATTTTTGTGACAAGTTAATTGTTTTATGTTCAATCCACTTACATTTGTAAAAAGCTAAAAAGTTAACAATTCCTTCATGTTGTCCCAACACAAATCGATTGTGTGGAACTCAGCATTGTTTGCAGTGAGTTTTATGTTAATGACATTTTTGTGTGTCTAAAATTTAGGTGCATTAAACATTTTTTTTGTTTAACCTTTTTTTTTTGCATGTTCTCCCTGTGTTGACATGAGTTTCTTTTGGGTTCTCCGGTTTCCCCCCACAGTCCAAAGATATGCACTATAGGTGAATTGAATAAACTAATAAATGAGTGTGAATGAGTGTATAGATGTTTTCCAGTGATGGGTTACAGCTGGAAGGGCATTCGCTGTGTAAAACATATGCTGGATAGGTTGGCGGTTCATTCCATGGTGGTGACCCCAGATGAATAAAGGCTGAATGAATGAATGAATGATAAATTAATTGGATCTCCATATGCACTCTAAAAAATGCTGGGTTCTGCACAATTCCTTCATGTTGTCCCAATGCGAACTGATTAGGTTAACCTAATGGATTTTCCAAATTTAAGTTCATCATTGATTGATTTACTGTTTTTTCGGGTAGCCCCTTTATTAATCTGGGGTCACCACAGGGAATAACTCGCCAACTTATCCAACATATGTTTTATGCAGTGGATGCCCTTCCAGCTGCAACCCATCAATGGGAAACACTCATACACTCTCACATACACTACAAACAATTAAGCTTATCCAATTCACCGATATAGGAGAAACCAGAGCACCCGGAGGAAACCCACACAAACACTGGGAGAACATGCAAACTCCACACATAAATGCCAAGTGACCCAGCCTTGGCTCGAACCAGCGACCTTCTTGCTGTGAGGCGAAAGTGCTAACCACCGCGTCACCCTAAATTTAAGTTGATTGAACAAAATAATTAAGCTGTCCAAAATAAACTCAAGATTTGTTTTGTTTGAGCTCATTTTAAATGAGTCGACAGAACAAGCAACAAAAAATAAATAAATACAATTTAAGAGTGGGTCAAGAAAACATTTTTTATTTCCTTATCAAATTAAAATGTATAACCTTGTTTGAAAAATTCTATATGGACACCCAACCATTTGATGTTTTGTAGACCATATGGATATACTGTATTGTCACTGTAGCTTATACTATTTTAGCTGCAGTTGAATTAGTTTTTATTGCCAATTATTCTATACTTGCTTAGTTAACCTAATTAACCTACTTAAGCCTATAAATTGCACTGAATACTAATAAGTTGCAAAACATCTAGTAAAACATTGTTTACTGTCATCATGGCAAAGACAAAAGAAGTTAGTTATTAGACACGAGTTTAATAAAACAGCACTTGGGAAATAATTGAGGCCAATAATTTTGTTTTTAATTGTATATTTTATGTGCAACATGATGGCTCGGTGGTTAGCACTGTCGCCTCACAGCAAGAATGTCGCTGGTTCAAGTCTTGGCTGGGTCAATTGGCATTTTGTTGAGTTTGCATGTTTTCCCTGTGATGGCGTGGGTTTCCTCAGGGTGCTCCGGTTTAAAGACCTGCTATAGATGAATTGAATATACTAGATTGTCCATATTGTATGAATGTAAATGGGAGTGTATGGATGTTTCCCAATACTGGGTTGCAGCTGGAAGGCCATAAGCTGTGTAAAACATATGCTGGATAAGTTGGCGGTTCATTTCACTGTGGAGACCCCCGATGAATAAAAGGACTAAACTAAAGGAAAATGAATGAATGAATAATATAGTTGAATTGTTTCATGTAATTGTATACACTCTAAAAACGTTGAGTTATTTATTTGACCCAATAGTTGAGTTAAACACATATTTGGTGTTTTGTTGGGTTATTTTTAACCTTTATTGGGTTATTTATTTAATACATTTGAATGAATTTCAACAGTCAACTGATTCAACTGACACAGAACAGGTGTACATAGTGTTGTTTTTGCATTGCAAAGTTTATTTAAGCTCTAATACTATTATATATATATATATATATATATATATATATATATATATATATATATATATATATAATCTGTTTCACCAGCATTAATTATTGATGATACAAATGTGCGCTTCAAAGCCGATCTATATTAAACTGATAAAGACCCTTAAGTGTCTGGAACTTAAAATGTAATGAAAATAAAGCAATTTCAATATTTATAATTATATAATTTATAATTTAAATTATTTATTTACACAGACATAATATCAAACTAATAGTAGTACTAGCAAAAGTAGCAATAATAATACCAGAATGGAATAAAAAACCTTTAATCAAAATAACCCAATGCATAATGCTATAATAACCTATAGTTGGGTTGTATGTTGGGGTATTTTTAACCCAACAATTTTAACAGAGTATTTGTTACACTATTAAATAGAGCTTTCTTTTTTAGATGCTTACAGTAATTGTTGAGAATAATGGTGTTTTGAGGTACTGCTCCTTTAAATGGCCTCCTCCAACCCCCATTCTTTACTTTAATTACATTTGTAAGTGCTGCGCGTGTCTTTCTGTCCGGTTGATTTACTAATCCTTCTCGATCGTCCTTCTGCATATTCTTTCTGCTGACAGCAGACCAAACTGATCAAGTGTGTGAAAATGCCATTCCACTGCACTGCAACAATTAACAGCGTGTACATGAAATGCTGTGTTCTTGCGTTTTGCCTGCTTTTGTGTATGTGGGATTTTTGTTTTCTCACATTTTTTTAAAGGTCTGTTTCGAAAGCGTTAATCAAATGGAAGTTTAACGGAATTAACCTAAGTGATCTGAACCAGATTATTGAGCATGCCTCCTGTGGAGAGTTCACAGAGTAAGAGCACAGTGTGGCAAGCCGTTCTGACTTTTATTCATTTGCATGATATGATTCTTATATTTCAAATCTATTTTTACAAGTTTAAATCCTTATTCTCAGTATCAGGTATTGAATTTCTACTTTTAAATATGGCCATTTTTAATACTAAATGATACTTCCACTAGCAAAAATTGCATGTTTCAGATGACAAATCCCATAGAGGGCACTGTTTACATTTTTGTGAATTTGAAATATGTTACTAAGGGTACGTTTGGATGTATGTTTAAGAGACACGTTCATGAGAAAGGGGTGCTTGTACATATCATCTAGCCTTTTATAAACACAACTAATAATTTTTTCAAAAGCAAACGTTAGAAAAAAGTCCATTCTACAAAATTAGCAGAGTTGTCCATATGGAAAGAGGCAAACCTATTTGTCCATATCATAGACACCATTAGGGTGTTTAGTGGTGATTGTATGGTGTTTTGCAAAGAACTGCATGTAAATAATCCTTTATTCATCAATAAAATGCTCCTATAAATATTATTAGTGTGAAAAGGAATAAAAGTTGTTGGTGCCCTGTAGTGTTCATTTTACCATTTTTCTAATGTCAGTCACAGGAGAGTTATTTTCTAAAATGATGTCATGAATTAAATTACTGTGATTGATCACACTATTAATATCCAGAATCAATATTTTTTTACTATAGGGATGATCATAAAAATAGCCATTGTTACACTGTAATACGTATTTGTAATAAATTAGCAGTTTTCCCCATTTTATGATTCATGTTTATTTCTTTATTTTTATTTATTGATGCTTCTGAATTGCATTATGGGACCTTGATCTTCCTGCAACAACCTTTGATGGTGAAACTTTAATAAAGCGACTTTAATTGACATTTTAACTGCTTCATTGTCTGTATTTGGTGTTGATAAACTTCCTGACAATGAATTTCCAGTACTTTTTCTTGTTATTTGACATTTTTTGACTTATTATTCTAATGGAACTTATTGTTTTAATGTACTAAAATGTCAAGAAAAGTCACCTGCAGAGTTGAATTTTCAATATCAAAATTTGACTGCAGAGATAAAGGTCCCATAGTGGAATTCATAACCTAAATAAACAGAAAATCAAGTCATGTGAATCATGAAATACAGGACATGTTAATTAACAGATTTTTATTACAGTGCAGATATAATTCCTGAGGTTGAGGGTTAGAATTTGAAATAGTGCAAATTGCACAGCTGATATCAAGAATTCATGAATACATTAAAGTCAAAGCGGCTTGCCATAGCAGAGTGCAAAAGACATGTGTTTATTTGTCATCCGTGCCAATTGGATTTAGCTGGCGGAGTGCCTGTGGGCAACCTGTCAGGCTCTGATTTACTCACCTATAACACAGCCACTGTAACTGCATGCCAAACATCAAGTGAAGTTCTCCCTGTTTATTGCTCTCTCGAAGAAAGAAGGTTCAAATTTAGCCAGAAATTTATTTGAGTAAAACTATGTGTGTACTACAGTATATATGGTTTGTATTCATTAAGTTAAAACAATTTATTTCTGATATACAGTTGAAATCAGAATTATTAAACCCCTTTTGATTTTTTATTTATTTTTATTTTTTGGAATGATGCTGATGTTTAACAGAGCAAAGAAATTTTCACAGTATGTCTGATTCTTATTTGTTTTATTTGGGCCTAATAACCCTAATAACCCAACTTGCCTAATTACCCTAACCTGCCTAGTTAACCTAGTTAAGCCTTTATATGTCACTTTAAGCTGTATAAAAGTGTCTTGAAAAACATCTAGTCAAATATTATTTACTGTCCTCATGACAAAGATAAAATAAGTCAGTTATTAGAGATGAGTTATTAAAAATATTATGTTTAGAAATGTGTTGTAGGGGGAAAAAATAAACCGAGGGGCTGATAATTCAGGGGGGCTAACAATTCTGATTTCAACTGTATATTGTTTAAAACAAAGACAAAGCAGAAAAGTAATTCAGAGACAATTTTAATGATGTAATTAGCAATAAATCACTTTTTAAAGCAATTTACTCAACACTGCATATAAATATGTACATTTTAACTTTAAACTACTTCAAAGTAAATTAACTAATAATCAACAAATAAAAAAATACATTTAAAACTCTATGAAATTAATAAATATCAAAATGTCTTTCTGCTGTCTGCAAAAGACATGCTTATCATTTGTCATATACTAGCTTGTGAACAGAAACAGAGAAGCTTTTCCTTCACCGTTCGTGCCAATAGGATTTCGCTGGTCAAGTGCTCGAGGGCGACCTGTCAATCTCTGATTTACTTACCTTTATTCTCTGTGTCTCTCTCTCTTTTTCTCTCTCAGCAGACAGCAGAAAGCCAAGCCTCCGGCAGTAGCAGCAGCATCAGTAGCAGTAGTAGCAGTGGCGGCTCTAAGAAAAGTTCTTCTGGAAGTAGTTTCACCAGCAGCATTAATAGACAAGGCAGTAATAATAGTGGTGGTAAAGCATCCACCGACAATGCTGGAACTAGTACTAGCAGTGCCACTAAAGATCATGGCAAAAGTGGTAAAGGGGTCAGCAAAATAGACAGTAGAAGTAGTGAGGTGGGTGCGGTGGAGGAGGTACCGTTGATTTCTTCTGAGAAGGAGAAGGAGGAGCCATTAAATGGTGGAGCTGAGGATTCCTCCAGTACAGGTAACGCTTCATCACTGTACACCACTGCTGGATCCTGTGACTCTCCATCACTCCATCTGTCCACTGGCTGCTCCAACACTGACGGTATGTGGCCACAAGGTGGCCTTATGACTTTAACTTCATGAACACTCAAAAAAAATATGTTTGCTGTTTGTTTAAACTATTATTTCAAATGAGTTGAAACAACAAAATTCTTGATTTTTGGGGGGGGCATAATAAAATTTAAACATAACAAAAGTTATGTTTAAATTTGTAAAAAACAATTAAGTTAACAATTAGTTCATGTTGTTCCAAAACAAATTTAAGTTGATTGAATATAACACAATTAAGTCATCCCAAAAAACATTTAGAATTGTGTTGTTTCAGCTCGTTTCAGATAGAAACAAAGGTAGTAGCTAATCATATTTGTCTAATGTTAGAAAAGCAATTGTTTTGTTGGTGATGTGAAAGATTTGTCAGTGTTTGCTTATTTTAAATCAGTTTAAAAGGATAGTTTTCTTAGTGTTGGGTTGCAGCTGGAAGGGCATCATATGCTTTAAAACATATGCTGGATAAGTTAACGGTTCATTCCGCTGTGGTGACCCCTGATTAATAAATGGACAAAGCCGAAATGAATGAATGAATAAAGGGATAGTTCACCCAAAAATAAAAAGTTACCTATTATTTACTGTTCTTTAAGTGGTTCCAAACCTTTATTTGTTTTTTTCTGTTGAACACAAAAGAGGCTATACTAAGAAAAAAAACTGAAAACTTTTAAACTATTGTTTAAAACTATTGAAATACATAGTAGGAAAAACTAACATTGTGGATGTCAGTGGTTACAGGTTTTCAGCTTTCTTCAAAATATCTTCATCCGTTTTCGTGAGAAGAAAGAAACTTTTAAAGGTTTGGAACAAATAAAGGGTGAGGCAATGATTACATAATTTATATTTTTGGATGAACTATCCCTTTAACTTAGTCAGAACTCTTAAATCAGGGGTGTCCAAACTCCATCCCGGAGGGCCGGTGTCCTGGAGTTTAGCTCCAACTTGCTTCAACACACCTGCCAGGAAGTTTCTAGTATTTCTGGTATAAGAGCTTGATTAGCTGGTTCAGTTGTGTTGGATTATGGTTGGAGCTAAACTTTCCAGGACACCGGCCCTCCACGACCGAGTTTGGACAGCCCTGCCTTAAATAAATGGATTTTTTTCCCATAACTTGATGCTAATTGGGCGACACAGTGGCGCAGAAGGTAACGCGGTCGCCTCACAGCAAGAATGTCGCTGGTTTGAGCCTCGGCTAGGTCAGTTGACATTTCTGTGTTTGCGTGGGTTTTCTCCGGGTGCTCCGGTTTCCCCCACAATCCAAAGACATGCTCTATAGGTGATTTAAATAAGCTAAATTGGCCATAGTGTATGAGCTTGTGAAGGCAAGAGTGTATGGGTGTTTCCCAGAACTGGGTTGCGGCTGGAAGGGCATTCTCTGCGTAAAACGTTCTGGTTAAGTTGGCAGTCCATTCTGTTGTGGCGACTCTTGAATAATAAGGAGACTAAGCTGAAAAGAAAATGAATGAGTGAACTTGATGCTAATCTTTCCAATCAAATCCAAAAAAACAACAACCCTAAATGCAAATGAGATGCATTTTCATCTAGTTGTTTAGTTGATGGTGTTCTTGGTAACCTAGTGAAGTGAAGGAAGGAAGTGGAAAGACTTTATCAGCGGAAACAGCCAATTATTCTTAGTCTGCATCCAAAATCGCCTACTTGAGTATGTACTATATTTAAATTTGAATCTACTACATAACCATTAGAAAAGTACTTTCTATACAGTATGAGTTTGACTAGTATGAATGGAACTCGCACTACATCAACCATTAGTCATTATCATGTGACCTACCCATGTCAGTTGTGTCGCTTCACTCCCATTCATAAATTCAGTCCATCAGATACCCACTTCAGAATCTCGCCGGAAATAGTAGGTCATCTCCTTGCATACTGTATTTCAAATACTAATTCAGACATACTACTCGGCTCACATACTGTTTTTAACGTACTATATCGTATGGAAGTTTGCGATTTTGTTTACAGCTTTAGGTTTATGGTTCATTCCAACCAGGATGTTGTCAGCCAAAAGGGCTCTTTGGAGAGGTGCTCAAAACTGTCCACTTCAAAGGGCCCTTCAGAGTTAAGAATTTCAAATGGTACACCTGATGGACAAACCAGCAGTGGTGGAGAGAGAATTGAAAAATCATAATCAAGTAAAAGTACCACTACTTACCCAAAAATGTAATGCAAGTAGAGTAAAAGTATCTGTTGTGAATATTACTCAAAATATAAGTAAAAAATAGCCCTTTTAAAAGTATTCAAGAGTAGTGATTATTACAATGCGAAAAGTTAATGTGTTTACATGCAGTTTGTGCAGGGATGTGTAAACGTAACATTCTGTAGTGCATTAGTGCTCTTCCTATATTTGTTCGTTCCTTTCAAACTTCCTTCCATTGTTTGTTCTGTCCCTCCATTCATTCATTTGTTCCTTCCTTCATTCATTTGTTCCTTCCTTCATTCATTTGCTCCTTCCTTCGTTCCTCCCTTCATTCGTTCGCTCATTCATTTGTTCGTTCATTTGAATTTTTGTTCCATCCTTCATTAGGCCCTTCGTTCATTTGGTCCTTCCTTCCTTAGCTTGTTCAGTTTTTCCTTAATTTTTTTTTTCATTCATTTGGTCTTTCCTTCATTAGTCCCTTCCTTGGTTTGTTCCTTCCTTCCATTCCTTGTTCGGTCCATTTAGTGATTGTTTAAGGCTGTTTGATGATTTCTGTCATCATAAAGTCGACATCCTTCATTTTTTCATCAGTAACATGCAGTCTAAAAAAGGTTTTTGTGTCATGTTGTGTAAACATTTTGAAGATCTTCTTGGACATTTTTAATGTTTCCAAAAGGTTTGCTGCATTTATAAAGCGGCCATGTCTTGAGGTTGTTCAGTATGATTCTATTTACTTTCTATGTGTGATTTGATTGAACAGGAATCACAGGACTGATTTTTCTACTTTAGCCAATCCTCATGAAAAAAAAAAAGAAATAAAGAAGTGACTGCAGGTTGAAAGAAAGTAGTGGAGTAAAAGTACTAATGCAGCACTAAAAATATACTCAAGGGAAAGTTAAAGTACATATTTATAAAACAGTTTCTGAGAAAAACTACTTAATTACAGTAATTGTAGTATTTGTAATTTGTTACTTTACACCACTGCATATCAGCACTTTTTTGATGCAGGGAAGATGTTTAATGTCACGCACTGAGTTGCTTTCAGAAGGGCTCATCTTTATGCCCTAATCCTTTTCAAATGGTTTACCCTCCGGAGTGACAGCTTTAAAGGGATTAGGGCATAGGGATGAGCCCCTCCGAAGGTATCGCAGTGTGCGACACTGAACAACTTCCTAAAGGTTCTGAAGGGTCCTTTCGAAGTTGCCACTTTTAAGCAGTTCGGAATGACACTTCCACATGACGGCTATAATTGTTTTTTTATTATATATTTTTATTTCGCTTTTTCAAGAACTAACAATACAGAACATCAAAACAAAACAACAAACGAACTAAATTAAAACATACACAGTATATTAAATAAATAAGTAAAATTAAATTAAATAAAAAAATAAAAAGGGAGGAGATACAGTATAAGCTAGTAGAAACAAAAACATTTTGTCAAATCAAATCAAGTGGTACTGTTTTAATGTAGTTCAAAAATGGATTCCAAATATTTTTAAATACTTCATCCTTTCCTCTCAAGGAATATGTGATCTTCTCCAATGGTATACAGTTGCAAACTTCTGAGATCCACAGTCCAATTGGTACATCAATGTCTGTTTTCCATTTTAAAGCAATGCATTTTTTAGCTATTGTCAGCAACATTTCGGTAAGTTTAATAGCATAGTTATGCTGGAGGTTAGAATTTGTGTAATTACCCAATAAACATATCTCTGGATCCAATGGAAAATCAATTCCATGAATCTGTGATATATTATTACATACTTGTACCCACAACACTTTCACTTTAGGGCACAGCCATGTAGAATGCAAAAATGTACCTTCTTCTATACCACATCTGAAGCAGAGAGGAGAAATACTGTTTTTAAATTTGTGTAATCTTTTTTAAATTTAAATTTGTGTAAAACTCTTGATCACTTGGAATCCACTGCACCATTCTGCATATGTTTAGTAATGTCTCAAAAATGGTGCATTGTGGCCTAAAGTGTACATATGAAGTATGCTCACTCCTTATGTCACAATCAAGAAGTCAGGAGTCCATGTAAACTTCTCTTGTCCAATTTAAAAACGAGAACACAATAAAACATATCAGATGGATTCCTCTAATGAAGGAAATGGTGGTTTGCAAGTGTCTCTAAAAGTCAATTGGAATGCAGCAGTTGTTATTGCATGCTAAAGAGCAGGTTCTGTGGATCACAGAAATGTTCAATTGTGGCCATTCTCTTATTTTTGAGTGAATGATCTTGCACAGTGCACTTTTATATACTTTGCAGGTTGTATATTCACATACAGATGTGTTACTGCAATATGCTATTTTTTTGTGAAATAACTCATTCAATATCCTATGGCTTTGTCACTGATTTATCAGGGGTCACCACAGTGTAATGAATCGCCAATTACCCTGGCATAGGGCTGCACAATTATATAAATTCAGTGTTAATATCACTAGTCAAATAGCTGCAAAGTCATGTTGAGAATAATATAATATGACCTAATCTGATAGGTTCAAACAGTGCAAAAGATTTTCATTTTATTGTGTTTTTTTTCAAGCTAATTTAAACCATTTTAAGTTTTCCACTTAAACAAAGACAAATTGTGTTTAATTATTTATAAAATGAAGACTCTATGGTGTTAATTTTCATTTGATTATTGCATTTCTGAACCTCAACGCTGTTAGACTTCACCATGAAAACCTTGAAGCGTGGTTTATTTCATTTTTATCTTTCATCTGTTTTTTTTTTTGTATATTTTTCTATAATTCTGTCATTTTTAAACAGATGCACTCCCCTACAAAACCATTTAATTCTTTCCACATAGAGTTACTCAAGTCATCTTGTAAAATTATATTCATATCGCAATGTATATATCGCAGAAAAACCAAATATCGCAATGTCAGTTTTTTCCAATATTGTGCAGCCCTACTCTGGCAAATGTTTACTGCAGTGGATGCCCTTCAAGCCACAACCCAGCACTGGGAAACATCAATATTCACCCTCAATCCTCATTTACACACACATTCATATTGTGTATCATATTCATAACAATTGGCTGTTAATCCCAATTACATTGTTTCGCTCTATCTTTTTTTAAACAGCAACAGTCCATTTCTTAATGTATGTGTTTTTAACATATTGTATTGTGGTATAGCTGAACAACTAAATTGTACTTTTATATTATATTAATTTTCTATTTAATATATTTAATAAATATAAAAAATATATATATATATATATTATTTTTATAAGTTGTGTGTTGCCGACCTCTTGGCCAGGTCACCCTTGTAAATGAGATCTTGATCTCAATGGGTTTTTATCTAGTTAAATAAAGAAACATATAGAGATTTATGCCTTCTGTGTGCAGTTTGAATGTTCTCCCGGTGTTCGCATGGGTTTCCTTCAGTTTATCCCACAGTCAAAAGACATGCGCTATATGTGAATTGAGTTAGCTAAAAATGGCCTCAGTGTGTGAGTGTGTGTGAATGTGAGTGTATTTCCTTGTACTGGGTTGCAGCTGGAAGGGCATCCGCTGCATAAAACATATGCTGGAATAGTCGGCGGTTCATTCTACTGATAAATCAGGGACTAAGCCAACGGAAAATGAATGAATAAAGGAATACAGACTCATTGTAAGTTTGCTTTGCTTTATTTTCTCAGGTACTTTGGAGCATTTGGCTGCTGAAAGCAGCTATTCCTGTTTGGAGAAGACAGACCCTCAAGTCGTGGACGCACGAGCACACACTGATTCCAGGTGTGACTGTGATAGTGTGTGCTCACCTACATGTTTCCTTCCCCAAAGTCTGTTAGCCCCGCCCCCTTCTCTCCAGAAACCAATCACAATACTGAAGGGGCATGTGGAAGTGATCCTGAACATGTGGTTGGACGCTCTCGGGAGGCGAGTTTAGAGTCTTCTGGGGAAAAAGAGTCACACACATCTGTGACACACACATTTAAACATGAAGTCCATCAAGCGTCCAGCCCTAGACGAAAAGTACACCGTCTGTCTGGAAATCGCCACAGGTAAGATTGGTTTATTACACTAACAGTAGAGTTGGTGTTTATCTGTAATGTTTGTGACTCACGCTTGTGTTCATTGTTGGGTTGTCATTTAAAAGCACCTTTTTTGTTTGTCTTTCAGGAGACATCTTCCCATCTCCATGTGCTTGCATTCCCATACACCACTGTCATCCAAACACTTTCTTAATGACCTGTTTCCCAATGTCTTTTATTTTTACATGTTCCTTCTTCTCAGAAGTTGTCTGCGGTGGATTCAAATAGTTTTTTTATACTGTAGATGAGGTTTCATTTGTATTTTTGTGCATGTCAGTGATATTATTATAATATTCTATATACAAACTGAACTCCAGTTGGACTGGTTTGTTTTATATCACAGTTAATCTTTCTGTCTATCATTTTTCTGCATTTATTTTTTAGAGGTTTTGGACAATTCGTTAAAACTCAAAGATTTAGTCATAAATGATAAATGTTCTGTTTAAGAATGTATATTAAATGCGTACATGTTTGATTCTAGGAGATCTCAGGACTGTGATCAGCAGGAGGGATCATTTCCGGACGTCGAGCTTCCACCTTCAACCTTCCCTTCCTCCTCCTCTGCTCAAAACGACCACGAGGAAAATGTCAGTACATCTCAGGTACAGTAAAACACATTCTGGGTTTGGAAATAGTCTTTTTTAATTGTGGTAGATTCATTAAATGTCAGTAATATTTCAGCAAATTTCTCATTCCCTTTTTAAAATATATAATATGATGAAAATACCTAATATCCTGGTTTAGACATCCTATGTGGCATCTGGTTTAAGGTTAGCATCTTGAGCTAAAGTACAAAATGGTGGAAAATGTCAACTCTGTTACTTACAACTCTGTTAGTGGTTTAATAAGTTTAACAATAAGTGTCACCGGATGTCAAGGGAGCGAAGACAAGAGGTTGGATCCAAATGCAATTTTTAATGAAAAAGATTATTCGTGCAGGCAAAAACAAATGAGGTCAAAAAACAAGAACTCAGAAATCAAGAAGGGCATCGAAAAATCCAAAAACAAAGCGATGATCAAAGTACAAAAAGTTACAAAACAATCATCAAAACATAACTAGAAACCATACAGGTACTGACAAACAAAGATTCCGCCTTGACTGGAGTGTGCAATGTGTATAAATAGTCCAAACAATTGATGATGACGATATTCAGCTGTGTGTGATTAATGGTGACTGGTTTGTGCAAAGGCATGCTGGGATATGTAGTTCATGAATGACATGTGTAGTATGGCAGCGATCTTTCAGGAACAGATTGCTGGTTATGTGACAATAAGTTAAACAACAATTAGAAACATAGTTAAATGATCCCTATGTTATATTGAATCATTTTACATTTGACATTAGTAATGGATTCAGTTGACTGTAAATGATGCATTTGTTGTACTGCATATCATTCCAGTTTAAGGAACTTTAATAGAGAATGCTTGAAATGTTCCAGCAATTCTGGAATGAGTCATGAAGTGAATTATTTCCTCATTCTATTATTCTGCTCTTTTGACTCTAAAGGACTCTAAAGATGCAATCCCTGATCACCCACGACCCTTCACGTCATGCAGCATCCGCTCTAAATCACTGGATCGCCGACAGCATGATCCCCCACCCACTGTAATACACTCAAAAACATCCCAGTAGCTCTAATTTGTGTTTCTGTTTGGCTAATAAATAGATAAATATAATTAGATGATTTATATAAATAATATTTGACATTACTAATGCGCTTTTCCCTTCAGCCCGATCTCCTCAATTTCAAAAAGGGATGGATGTCTAGACTGGGAGAAGATGGAAAGGTGGTTTTGAAAATTGAAATGCCTCAGATATGCATATATTTGAATACATCAGGGTTTCTTGTTCATTTTTTATGTGGTGAAATGATCTGATGTTCTCTGTCTCCAGTGGAGGAAGCACTGGTTTGTTTTAACTGACCAGATTTTGCGATTCTACCGTGACCCTGTAGCAGAAGAGGTAATACGTTGTGTGTGATAAGTTGATGGGTTTGCTATTTTTCATTTCAGAAATGAACTAAACTTTCACATCTTAGGCAGCTGATTTGGATGGTGAGATCAACTTGTCTACTTGTTACGACGTTACGGATTACCCCGTACAAAGGAATTATGGCTTTCAGATTCATGTGAGTGTACATCAGTTTACTGTAAACAAGTATAAACGTATAAATGTTTTATGTTCATTCCACTTAAATTTGTAAAAATAATTAAGTTAACTTAATCGATTTGTGGCGGCATGTTGGCTCAGTGGTTAGCACTGTCACCCCACAGCAAGAAGGTGGCTGGTTCGAGGTCTGGCTGGGCCAGTTGGCATTTCTGTGTGGAGTTTGCATGTTCTCCTTGTCTCACATGGGTTTCCTCCAGGTGCTCTGGTTTCCCCCATAATCCAAAGACATGTGCTGTAGATGAACTCAATGAACTAAGTTTTATTTATTTTAAGGTTTATTTATAAACTAATGCTTATGATCAACACGGCTGGCTCCTCATTAGCTCCGTAATCTACCCTATTAGATGATTACGGAAGCATTATAAATAATCAGAGTTTTTCACTCCAGTTTTCTTTGTCTTAAAGCTTTCCCCCTTCCTCCCCTACTTCCTCCCCTTTTTTTCTAATGGGGTGACACGGTGGCCCAGTGGCTAGCACTGTTGCCTCATAACAAGAACACCACTGATCCAACCTCCTATCGGGCCGGTTGGTGTTTCTGTGCGGAGTTACATGCTCTCCCCCGTGTTCGCATGGGTTTCCCGGTTTCCTCCCACCGTCCAAAAACATAAACCATAGCTAATCGACTAAACCAAATTATCACCCAGGACAACCTTAGTTTACACTTCTCACACGGCGACAAGCAGGGGAGTTCTCGAGACCTACCTGAGCTCGAACTCCCCTCTCGCCCTTCTAACAGGAGGGAGCCACGTGCTCGAGGATATAACGAGCTCAGGGCTCTCTCCCGGGACAGCATGCCAATTACGCTTTATTGATTATCAGCTAAGTGTTAACTCTTGAAATTGGCCGTAGTGAATGAATGTGTGTGTGTGAATGTGAGAGTGTATGGATGCTTCCAACTACTGGGTTGCAGCAGGAAGGGCATCTGCTGGATAAAACATAAGCTGGAATAGTTGGGAGTTCACTCTGCTGTGCTGACCTCTGAAATAGAGACTCAGCTGAAGGAAAATGAATGAATGAATAATTGGTTTGTGTTGGGACAACATGAAAGAATTGTGTGGCAGTCAGCATGTTTTACAGTGTACTTACATTTTTTTGTATCTGTTTTAACACATTTTCATTCCTCTTTTTATACAGACAAAAGATGGGGTCTTCACTCTTTGTGCGATGACTTACGGAATACGACGTAACTGGGTCCAGGCAATAATTAAAAATATCCGGCCCTCCATTACACCTGATGTCACATGGTATCATTAATGAAGCTAGTTTTATTTTCAAGAAGATGCATTCAGCTGTTAGAATTACCCAAACCTGATTTAACCAAGTAGGACATGTTTCTGGATTGACATGTATGTTTATCCTGGAACTACATTTCAGTCACCTAATCAGAATTAAGGGATCTGTTTACAGTTTATGTTAAGTTTAGGCTTACAGGTTTATGCACTTCTACATGATCGTTATCCAATTATTATTCACCTTTAATTTTGGGAATGTTTTGCAGACAAGGTTGGGTTTAGATGTAAGGGGATTGGTATGGAATGTCTTTTCGAACAAAAATGATGTTCCAGGATCAACATAAATGTTAATCAAAGATTGCATTGTACATGGCAAAATCATGATGTATGTTAGAATTATATCACACCCTGATGTCCAACACTAACATACAATATAGCTGAAGTTAACACAATTATCTATCCTTTGAAATGTTTTTCTTTTTCAAATATTTTCCAAGTGATGTTTAATGGAGCAATGAAGATTTTCACAAAATTAACTATATATTTTTTTCTTCTGGAGAAAGTCTTATGTCTTTTAGTTTGGCTGAAATGAAAGTTTATTTTTAAAGTTAACATTATTATTAGCCCCCTTAAAAAAATATATATATTTTTGATTTTATTTTTATTTTTGCTACAGAAAAAAAACATTCTTATCCAATGACTTCCCTAATTAACTTGCCTAGTTAACCTAATTAAGCCTTTAAGTTGCTCTTTAGCTGAATACTACTATCTTGCAAAATAACTATTAAATAATTATTAATATATTATATTATATTATATTTATAGTTATATTACAGTATGTACTGTCATCATGGCAAAAATAAAAGAAATTAGCTACTAAAAAAATGTTTTAAAATGTGTTGAAAATAATTGTCTCATTTAAACAGCACTTGAAATGTATATATAAATATAATTTCTGATTTTTAAAGGTGGCTAATAATTACTGTATATATTGCTTTTATGCTTAGAAAATGTTATGTTAGGTAGTTTTTAAAAAAAAAAACATGTTTGCAGATTGACATTGCCCTCATTCTGCCTTTTTTATTTTCCTCAAATGCTAAACAAGGAAAAATCCTGCTACAAAACCCAGGTTTGAATTCATTTTTTCTTTAACCATAAGTAGTTTTCTTTATTTCAGTGACGTATATTAATGGTTAAACACACCATAAATATGTTTTATTTAATAGAAAAATCATAACCCACTTCATCTTCCCTCAGTTATATTCCTCAGAAGGTGCCAATGACTGGTGCACATGCTCGTACAGGCTCGTCCCAATACAACACGATTCCCCAGGAGGAGGAGCAAAGAAGTCGAGTCCGAGAGCGCCGTAGAGAGGGACGCTACAAAACCTTTGATTGGGCTGAATTGGGATATAAACGGCACAAGGAAGAGTTCTTAAATGAACTGTCAGGAAGGCAGTGGAATCATAAAAGTCAATGTTCGGTGCCTCCTGCACCTGCGTCATCTCCTGAAGAGCCAATCATACGTTCTGCCTTGGAGAATGAATATCCGCAGAAGATGAGGCTTTTTCAGGGGCGAAGCTTGAACATTATGGCCACTGATTTATCGTCCCACTCATTAAATATGGCCGTATCTAGTCGGACTTCTCCAGAATCAATCAGCCCAGACAGTTTAGAAGTTGATTCAGGCACAATCCATCTCCTTTGTGACAAATCTGTTAAACTACTGGAAGCAAAGGCCAAAGAAAAAAAGCAGGTAAGGTCAGAAGCAAATATGGTTGTGGTGTTTTTTTGTCCACAATATGTTTCCTTAACTAATTGCTAGGGGTGTAAAATTGCATTCATATGAATTCAACTGACCAATTAAATATTGTATCAACTATTTGCTTAAAATATTCACTTTTCAAAAGCATTCACTTTCCACATCTTTATGTCCATCCAGGGAGCGATTTAAAAGGGAGTTTGGTGTGGTCTGCCATTTGAAAGTTTAATAGATAGTTTTCCCTGTGTATCTTGACTGAGATATAAATAATAATAATTTTATAAATAATGGATAACTTAAATATACATTTGACCACCCCTATAACTGTACATATCATTGTGAATGCATAAAAATATGAATTCAGCAGTTTAATTCCAGTAAATCTTCAGCACCGTGTTCACAAAGTTTTTTTTTTCTTGTAAAATAATTGCTTGCATCAACATGTAACCTGAAAGTAGCATGAAACTAGATGCGTAGTTTGTATTTTATTATACGCTTGCTCACACATGGAATTAAACAGTAAAATAAATATATGTACAGTCCATTATGGTCATTCATTAAATGGTGCAGGAATGCAAGCTTGTCAAATTTTGTTTTATATCACAAACGAGAATCACTCAATATCCCTCAAAACACTGACAACTAGTTTAATTACTAAATTAGATGTAATTGTGATTAAATATATAAATTTGGTTCACTGAAATTTACTACACAAACTAACATTAGTGAAAAATTGCACCTCTTGATCGTCAATGTGCGAAATTGGCACCCTGTGTCCATCTACATGTTTTATTTAAAGTGCACATTCTGGAATTTTTATTTGTACTCAATCATGCATACCTCATAGTGATGCAACAAGAAAGCAACATTTACACTAGTGCAATTTAGTTTTTTAAAACAGTTTGCATTTGAGAAAAACTAACGCCGTCTACTCTATACAGCATAAAACACATGATACAGTACATGACCACTTGGAATATGCATATTTGGCGACATCCATACTTGCAGTCTACCAGGCAATGGTCATATGAGAGGGACTTGGCAAATCAGGAAACAAAACAAGGAGGATCAACCAGAGAACAATTAGATTCTTAGAAAGTTTACATGTACACTGAAACACCAGCATTTTCAAAATGCTCCTTTTTTGCTGGTTGAAGATGCCAAAATACTGAAGTGTAGATAGCAGGTGTAGCCGTAACCAAACCTATGTGTTTTAAAATTAAAGTGCAGTAGTGGAAATGGTGCCAATGACACGTGTAAATATCATGTATTATAAATTTGTTATTTACATTTAGTCATTTAGCAGACGCTATTATCCAAAGCGACTTACAAATGAGGACAAGGAAGCAATTTACACAACAATAAGAGCAACAATGAATAAGTGCTATAGGCAAGTTTCAGGTCTGTAAAGTCTAAGAAGGAAAGTAGTAATTTTTTAGTAATTTAGTAAAAAAATTTGTAATTTTTTAGTAAAATTTTAGTAATTTTTTTTTTTTTTTTTTTTTTTGAGTACAGTTAGTGGTATATCCAGAGAGGCAATTGCAGATTAGGAAGTGAAGTGGAGACTAAATAGTTCAGTTTTTAGTCGTTTCTTGAAAACAGCGAGTGACTCTGCCATTCTGATGCAGTTAGGGAGTTCATGGGTTACTTTATGTGTAACCACTGTGTACTACTTTATGTGTACTTTATGTAACCACTGTTATGGGTTACTTAATTAAATTAGTATTTTTCTTATTATTTAAAATAAAACTGAAGTGCAATTTTTGTGGTGGATGAAACAGGACATGCAATACAGTTCTGAGTTCAATTTAATGCTCATATTGTATACATTGGTCACACTCAAAAACTGGACTGACAGTTTCAATTTACTTGAACTTCTATGTTAAGCTGTTTTGACACAATCTACATTGTAAAAGTGCTATAAAAATAAAAGTGATTAAATAAAGGAACATAATTAAATATCAATATAATGATTAAGATTCCCCTTAATCAAATTAATCAAAAATATTTTACTGCTGGCTATCAATATCGTATCAATACCATACTATACCGTGACCTGACGTCTGATTTACACCACCATTGTTTACACTGTTCACATATTCAGGTCAAGGTTGTAAACAAAGTCTTGCATTTATTACAGGTTGATCGCTCAACCTCTCCGTTCCCAGTCACCTTCTCTTCAATCGCAGCACAGACAGAATGGCAGTGGGATGTGGAGCTCCAGAGTCTGCGTAGAGAGATGAAGGCTGAGCACGAGAGGAATCAGACCCACGAAAAAGAGTTAAAACTAAGTGAAGCCAGACTTCAAGCTGAGCTTAACGATAGTCAAGGATGTCTTCAGAGGGCAGAGTTAAGAATTAAAGAGACAGAAACCTATCTGAAGGAGCGCGAGGAGGTCACGGAGAGTCTAAATGCACGACTGGAAGAGGTAACAGCTCGTCTGAAAGCAACGGAAGAGGCGCAAGCTTTGAAGGAGGTCCGTCTGCAAAGACATTTACGCCTCTTGCAAGAAAGCCAAGAACGAGAGAGGAGAAGCTTCAGTGATAGTCTTGACCAATCTGAACAACGGGCAAAGGAACTAGAGGAACGTCTGCGACAAAAAGAGGCTGAGATTCAGAAGAAACCAACAGGAGCAGCTACTGATGATCTTCTTCGAAAGTGCCAGGAGCTACAAAACCAGCTGGATGAGTCGGACAGTGAAGTCTGTCGTCTACAGGCACGCCTCCAAACTGAGGAGACCCTTTATTATGACCTGGAGCATGATTATGAAAGAGCTTGTGAGGAGATACAGAGTGTGCGAGGTGCTCTGCTGGATTGCGAAAGGATAAATGAGGAGCGCTTCCAAACCCAGCTGCTGCAGCAACAGCAAGAGCTAGATAAGAAGGAGCGGGAACTTCAGGAAGTGCTTGTTAAGTTGGCCGTACTAGGTAGCAGTTTAGAGGAGACGGAGCTAAGGCTCAAACAAGCTCAAATGCATTATTCTGAAGCTAATGATATGTTGATGGAGCCATGCAGACAGAAAGGGAAAAGAGATCTGGACCATCACACTGCTACACAGGAAGGAGAGTCGCACAGAGTGATCTCTGTTATCCAGGCATTAGAGCGCAAGTTGTGTGACACTGAAGAGCGACTCCAGGAGCTTAATGTGCATCTTCAACAACAGCAACAGATCAGCAGTGGTCCACATGCACTTAATGATTCTCGGTACTCCCACAGTTCCCTCCAGAATCCAGAATTCTCTGTAGATGCCCTGCCAAGTTTTACTGGATCTTTGCATAGACCTCAGGAAACTACTTCAGACAGAATTTCAGACAAGGTTAAGTTCTCGCTTCATGATGATGGAAGTCCAGGGAACAGTCTGCACATGGCCAGCAGAGTGTTGTCAACGGAGGCACTAGTTGTCCGAAGGATTGCGTCTGCACTTGAGCACCCCAGCACAAATCTCCTTAGCAGATTGTCTGATGTGCATGTCCAAGTGCTGAAGATGACTCAAGGAGGCAGTAATAATGGGACTGTGCAAGCAAGTTTCTCTCGGTACTTGGTTGACTCTCTTGAGCAAGATCTCCAAGACAATACACTGAGTGAAAGTACAATCCATAGCCTATGTGTGAGAGCAGAGATGGCCTACCTCCTACATACCCTTCACACTCATTACTTAAAGGAGCAACAGCCTTGGCCAGTGACTGAAAGTTTCTCGCCTGGAACCAAAATTGCAAACGGTTCCAAGCAGGAACTTGCTGATATTTTCCCGCCAGAACTTGCACATTACAGCGAACTGATGGAGGACGAACTAGCGACTGATCTTCTCCTTGTGGACTCTGAAGGACAGCTCGCTTGCAGAAAGAGTCTGGTGGCAGAGCTCCGTGCTCAGGCACAGTCTCTGCAGAACCTCTCATCACAGCTGCAGTCTGATATTAGAGAGGACGACCTATTTTGTGAACTTCCTACAGCCATACTGAGGGCTGCAATGTATCAGGTTACTTTGGCATATATGGCATGTCGTCTGCGTTTGACCCTGCAGCAGGAGATGAGCACCCTACGCAAACAAAGAGAGCAGGCTGAGTGCGAGTGTCGTGCCATGTGTCGTAGCATGGAGACTCTTTTCCAGGAGCAGAAAGAGCGCTATGAAGAAAAACTGCGTGAGGAGCGTGTTGTTATTGAAAAAGCGAAGCAGGAACGTGTTTCAGCAGAAAACAATGCTCAGTTGAGAACAGAGGAAGCGGAAAAGCTGCAGGTGGAGTTTGAGGAGAAGCTCCAGGAGCTCCAGAAAATCCATGAGGAGGAGATGGTTCGCCTCCATGAATACTACATTATGAATTCTTCAAATATAAAAGCTGCAACTCCCTCAGAACTTGAGACAGGAGAAGAAACTGCGACTGCTCTTCAGGGCCGGATCAGGGAGCTTGAAACTGAGGTCACTTGTTTGAGAGGGGAAGTCAACAAAAAGGATGTCAAGAACTATCAGCTTGACCTGGAAACCATTAAGGTGCACAAGCATTCATACTATAGCATGAGAAAAATATGAGCTTATACCATGGCGCGAATTATGAATTACCCCCCTGAAGGATGTCAAAAATAGATGTGTGGAGGGGTTCTAGAAAAGAGTTTGCATTGATCTTGTTGGAATATCTAGCCAATTCCATAGGTGTTCATTAAAAAAGGTCAGTAGAGAGTTTTCTTCAATGTCAAAAATTTAAGTAATTTATTACATACAAATGAGTAATTCGAGGACAGAGCTCTGGCTTACGTTTCCCCAATGCAATACAAGAATTTCATTCAGGAGGTTCGCAACTAACTTACATTTCCCTGACTCTAGCATATTTACACAACTGATATTAACAGGTGTGGTTTTGGTGCAATGCCACTTATCAGTCATTCTGCAGTCCTTTGGCTGTTGCACCCAAACATACTTCCTCTTTCAGCAACCCTTCTTTGCTAACCAGAACTGAACAGTTAAGTGCATCTTCAAGATATTTCAAGCATCCAGCTCCTATTCTGCTATTTTCCTCTTGTCAACAGTTCCTTCTAAGAAGTATGCAACACAGTGAGAAAGAAGTAGTATGTTTGGTTAATATATGGTATCATACAAAAGAATAATATTTATTAGTATTAAAAATTTCCTTTTTCCCCACAATATCTATATGAAATAATAATACGTTAATACAGTGCCTGTAGAAAATCAACGTATCCTGCAAAATCTATGCCTTTACTCGAACTACATCCTGCTTTAAAAAGACCTTCGAGATAAAGTTGTAGAAAAGGCACAGGTTAGGAGAAGGCTACAAAAATATTTTAAAGGCTGGAACAGTTATTTGGAAAGTGATTTGATTTCAGGCTGTATGACAAACAAAGTATAGTATAGTATAGTATAGTATAGTATAGTATAGTACAGTACAGTATAGTATAGTATAGTACAGTATAGTATAGTATAGTATAGGCACTGTATAAATATAAATTTGACCCCCTTTATTGGTTCATACCATTGCCAATACATAATCGTGTCCAGCAGATATGGGGGCAAATATTCAGTTGGTGGTCTGAAACAGGCAGGTCTAACTAATCGATAGACACTATAATTGTTCAAGACACTATAGATTGGAGCATGGATGCAAACTTGTCCCTGATATTTTACATCAAAAACAAGTTGTCGTTGATAACTTGTTGAAATAGGCCATTAGGGGTTACTGTATGTCAGAATCCAAACATTATCCCTATAAACACTGAAAATAAGTTTGATCAATAAATGAGATGTAATTTAATTAAATATTGGAATTTGGTTCACTGTGGAAAGTATATGTAAACAAACCTTTACATAATACTTTATCCGTTTGTCTGTCTTAGGCCACATATGAGAATGGTTTTAGCATTATGGAGGAGAGTCACCAGCGAGTAATTGAGGAGATGCAGAGGCAGCATCAGAGAGAGGTGGAAAGACTGACAGAGGAGAGAGAAAGAGTGCTGCAGGAGGAGACAAATGCCACTATTGCAGGTTGTACTCTAAACTTTACCTCATATATTTATTTACATAATGCTACCAGACTATAGAAGTACTTTTGGTTAATAGCCAAAACTATAATTGATAGCATTATGCACTAAACTTTAACATCTGTCAGTTAATATTCCACATTTCATAGCAAACCTGCAAAATGAGAAACAAGGATAGCTGTGGTCACCATTGGTCATATGCTTTAAGAAAAAGAGCAGCTTGAACATTGTGCTAAATAACACCTTTTTTATTCCTCAAAACAGAAAAAGTCAGGTTTGCATGAATGTTCACAATATAGAAACCACATTGTTATCTGAACACCGTAGCAACAACACATTAGCCTATAGTAACCTAGCAATTACACAGAATACCCCAGCAACACAACACACACAACACAAGCTTCTAAAATAAATTTAGCAGTTTTAAAAGTTAAGTGTTAGGCTTTCAACTTTTCAGTTTTTTCTTTTAAACCTTTTAAAATATTGTCTTAACTTGATTGCGAATGTGTGTTTTTCTGTAAGTGTTGGCTTTGATTTTTCTAATTCTCTCTTGTATATGGCGATAGTTAAATTATTTGCTGTCTTGATAGTTCTATATATTTACTTATATTTTCTGTTGCTTAACAGCCATAGAGGCCATGAGGAAAGCTTATAAAGAGGAATTGGACAAGACCCAAAAGGCACTTCAAAATGGTTCCAGTGTAGACATCCGCCAGCTTCGTACACAGTACAAGTACGTCTATCATTTTTCTGACAACTGTGACAATCCATGCCAGTAAAAAAATCTAATAACCCAATTTCCCATCCACGCATTGAGTTCAAATATCTGAATGGGGAGAGGTTATTTGTTTTTTTCTTTCAACTGTCGAGTGCATGTTAGGGCAGTGTGATTCCAAAATCTTTTAGAATGGATTCCAATCTGTATTCCGATTCCTAGTTCTAGAATTGATGGAATTGATTTTAAAAATTGGTTCCTCACTGTTGTTGCTCATCACTTTTTCATTTTTTTATACTCGTACGCAGGGGCAGATTTAACTAATAAGCAAGGTAAGCGGCCCTAGGAAATCTGAAGGCCCCCAAATAAATACCTAGAAGTATAAAGGAGACTTTAAATTACATAGGACGTTGTTTTCTATCATATTTTGTACAGTGAGGATCTAAAAATTTTAATGTAATTATTACTTCTGCGCAAATGTGTCCCCCACCTTTAATTATGGACAAGTCCAGCAGTCAAATCATTAAAGATTTTAGCTGCAGTGACACTAGAGTTTGAGCGTGTGAAATTCTGTAGTACGCCACTGCAAAAAGAGGTGGGATTAAACAAGATGATTAGACATTAAAAAAAGCGAGCGATTAGTTCATATTTTAAATTTCTGTCAGAGAGATATCATGTTTTGATCTTCAATTGGTCTCATGCAGTCAAGTGATGCAATTTCACAGGTGAGAATTGACCAAGCTTGAACTTTCCAGCACAGCAAACTGCGAACCTTCAAACCTCGCACGAGCTTGCATTTCCAGTCTGATGCATTTGCGTGCGTATGGAGGGTAGTCTATGGGGAGAAAAGTCTATTGTCACAGCAGCTTTAGTTTTAAAAACAAAATAGTCCATTTATTATAGTCAGTTGTGAATTCATGTTAAGAAAACAAATAGTTTCAAATGTTTTACAAGGTGCTTTTCATGTTATTAACATTTTGCATTAAGATACAATGTAGAAAATAAGATCGAATGGTATGAGAAAAAAAAACTTGTAAAATAATCATTTAAAAAAATTTACACACAAAAGGTGCATTTTAGAACTTTGGGCACCCATAGCTTGAATTGTTTAGAGCTCTAAAATCACTAAATCCGCCCCTGCTCATAAGCAAATTGTTCACTGAAATTCCTATAGTATTTCAATACTGAAATAAGAAAGCACAGTTTGTCTGTCAATCCGATGTGTGAGGATGTTTTGTTATAGCAATGACAATCTTTCAGCATTACTCAAAAGAGAAAAAAGCTGACTTATATTTAAAACAAAAATCAGATCATGTCATGCATCTGTTTTCTTTTTATGTATTCAGAGTGAAGCTTAACCTGCTGTGGGCTATAATTCAACATGCTTAAGCCGTTTATAAGGCACCTAAAACAAAAACTATAAGAGCAATTGCAGCGTTATGTGACATTTGCAGTAAAAATCTCAAAACATAATTTCACAGAGAAGGTATATGTTAACATTTTATTAAAACATCTGTTTATATTTTCCAAAACTACTAACCATAGACTTATGGGAGCAGAAAAATATCAATCTGTAAACATATTTTATATTTTTAATAAGGGAAATAAACGTGGGTTATGGATGTGATGAAAAAAGTATGCAAGTTTACAGTATACAACGTACTATGTAGAAATTCTGTGAATTAAACTGCACAACCCAAAAGGTAAAATGCTAACCAAATTGATAATAGTTTTCTCTATTGAACAAAAACGATTGATTTTATTTTATTTTACTTTTTTTGCATTTAAGAGGAAAAAGCTCTGTTATGGATGCAACATCTCTTCGTTATGGATGTGACAGATGTGAAATGGGCACTTCTGTGATTTAAGTAAATCAAATATTATAGTTTTAAAACATTAACAGAGACGTTTTTGATTATTAAGGCACTGTAAAATACTTGCTTACGCAAAAAAACGCAGAAACTGTTTCAATATTTTGGTGAAAACATTTGCACGGAATTGCTCATAAGCTTCAATTTGTGCTTTAGAATTGAAGTTAAAAGCTTAAACAACATTAAAGGGATAGTTTACACGAAAATGAAAATTATCTCATTTATTCTTCCTAATGTGGTGAGTTTCCAACCTTAATGAGTTTCTTTCCTCTTTTAAACACAAAAGAAGATATTTAGAAAAATGCTGGTTGATGGTTCCCATAGTATGAAAAAAATACTATGTAATTCAATATCAACCAGCGTTCTTGAAAATAACGTATATTATGTTCAGCAAAAAAAAGAAACTCAGTGAAGGGTAAGCAAATGATGACTGAGATTTCATCCCTTTAACATAAAACAATAAAAGGTAGAAATACATGTTCCATCGTCTATTACTTGGATCTTGGATATTTCAGCATGACATTCCATAACCATGTTTTTTTCCATGAAACCATGACCATGTTAGAAATTACACAATGTTGTAAGAAAACAGTGGATATGGTTATTTTAATCAATTAATAGAGGCAAACCATTAAAAAGTACAGAACAGAATATACTGTTTAATTATTATTGGGAAAATAAAGTGAAATAATTCATTAGTTCTTCTAAGGTAAAAAGAGGAATCAATTCCCCTTATGCAATCAATTCCGGACTTTGAAATCGACTCTCAATACTCAACACCTCAGACTCAAGGAATTGATTATTTTTGGAATGAACTCTCAGCCCTAGTGCATGTGTCCTTTACATTTTCTGCAGTGAGGATCTAGAAACGTTGCACAGGGAGCTGGAGGTCTTGTCAGAGCAATATTCTCAGAAATGCCTGGAAAATACTCATTTGACACGGACGATAGAAATGGAAAGGGAGGCACTGAGTTTAACCCAGAGAGAGAACCAGGAGCTTCGCACTCACAAGCAGGTGACCCATAAAACCCATTCACAATATATTATATTCACAATTAATATGCAAATTCTTTACTTTGCCGATTATATCACTTATATGGGTTGTTAACATTCAGTTGAATTTTTACTGTCACATGACAAACATGAATAAAATTAGTGTTGATATCGTTTAAAATGCAGATTAAACATTGCTTTGTTTTTCACGGACCTCTTGTTTTAAAAACTGTGGTGTTATTACAGTTTAATTTTTTTTTTTTTTGCCAAATTTCAAAACTGTGACTGTCTCAAGCATAGTTCAGTAAATTCCAACTCTTATATATTAAACAGAAATTAATAAAATTGTTAATGAATACCTCAGGCCTAATTTTGCAAGTGTTTTTAAGTTAATTGGCAATCATTTTTTTCTTCAATATATTTCTAAATACACAAACTGGATGATCACTTTTATGTTACCGAAAACCATGTCCTCTGGTGTGTGACACTATATGCTACAGTATTTACTACTGTATTTTTAAATCAGCAATTCGACTTAAAACTTTAAATAGTTGAAAATCCATATTCAAGATCATGTTATTGAAGCCCCCTCTGAAGCCCATGACATGCAATTGTTATTGTTTTTGCAACTTCTTTAAATCAAAGTTTGTTGTCCTTTGGTGTGACTCCCCTATTTATTGAATATGTCCAACAAGTCGTAGACAAATAAATATTATTCCTAATTTCATATAAATAATTTAATAAAAGTATCCAACAAGACTGTAAGAAATGATATGACAGATGTTTTGATGTTTTGTCCTTGACAACCAATGGTTTTATATTACTTTAAAGGTGCAGTATGTAAGTTTGACACCTAGTGGTGGAACTAGGTATTGCATTCCTGGTTCAAAACACGTGCAAGTGCAGGTTGCCAGATTGATCAACAGGAGCGAGTCTGACTATCGAGCCTAAAGGCTGATTTAAATTGAGTTCTGTATAAAAGCAACAGCACACGATGGGAAGAATATTTCCCATATTAAAGACGTTTTTGTTATAACCAACTTCTTAAGTTGATATATTAGAAACGACTTCTATTTCTTGCAGCTGAACAACAGAAAACTGACAATACTTACCTCAGGTACACCTCATTTTCTTTATTCAGTGTTAAATGCTTATAATGTGAGTTTAAATAGCATTTTGCATGACATTTATTGTCATACTACTGAAAGCAGCAGCAGATAGTTCACCTCAGATCATGATAATGAAATAAACGGTTTGAAATTGAAGTTTAGAACTGTGACTCAAAACCAACACATATCAGTGTTTCTGCATGTACATTTAGTAATGTTAAAGAGGTTTAATATGTATTAATTAGATTATAAACATCACCATTTCATGAGGGAGTGCTTATTCTGTGCTTCAGAATGGCTGAATTAAAATTTCTGTCGTGTTTCATCTAGTGCAAACAGCCAAGTTGTTTATCACTGCAAATCTCATCACTTAGCACCCGTCGGTGCCAATAGCCTAGTGGTTTGTGCGTCGCCATATAGCACCAAGGTGCTCGCGGTGACCTTAGTATGATTCCCGGCCTGTAGTTCTTTGCCGATCATTCCCCTATCTCTGCTCCCCACACTTTCCTGTCTACAAGTCTCCACTGTCCTATTAATTAAGGTGAAAACCCCTAAAACAACAACAATAATAATAATAATAAAATCTAAATAAAGAAATAAAATTAATAGCCACCTCAACATGGAACTCTGAATCTGCCACTCATTGCGGAGTTTGCTACTGTTTACCGGAGGTTGCATTTCGGTCACGGACGCATGCTTTGAGAGCCTTTCTGGATGAATGAATGAAATGCGCAGTTTTCCAACAAGGCAACTGGCATTGGGTGGGTTAAATAGACCAAAACAAAGACAGCGTTCTGGAATGTAACGCACATTTTCAAAGCCGAATTACTGACTTTAGCATTGTTTTTCAGATAAACAAGAATGTTCACTTGTCATGTTTCTTAATTATCTGCAAACATAATATAATATTTTAAGACTTTAGAAGAGTCAAAAAATTACGTACAGCACCTTTAACTTATTTTAATAACTTATAACTTACTATTTTTAGTCAGTTTGATTAATGCAAGTTGAGATGACTAGAAAATCTCATTTGATTCAACTTAAAGCAGCAAGATATTTATTACAGTGAATGAAGAAAACATTTTTATATTATTAGTTGCTATTTTTCTTTTTGCCGTCACATCATAGGATATTTTTACAGTACAGTTTAGTAGTAAAAAGGAAAACAAACAGTAAAAGAATTGATAAAGCAAGAGACATTTTCTCAAACATCAGACTTTAAACTACATAAACATAAAATTTTCTTCAAAAACAGTGTTTTACAAAAAAACAGACATTTTACTGCGTACACAAAAAAATATCCGTAAATTATTAGTTTTCCATATTTTGTGGTTCATGTTTTTATTTCTGCCTATTTATTTATGCTTTTGAATCACATTATGAGACACTGATCTTTCTTCTGGCATCTTTTAAGCATGGAAAGTTGGAAAAAGTGACTTGTATTTTTAGTAGCTTAAAGTGATATATCGTCTGGGTTGGTGTTGTTTATTAGGCCAAGGATGTAGATTTACTTTTGATATTGGTGGGGACCTAATTTAACACAACCCACATTTAAAATGTAAAGTTAAAGGAACGTCTGACAAAAAGGTAATTTGATAAAGATGTTTACTGAGGGCTTATTTGCGCATGATCACTTACTGTACCAACACATCTAAACACATTTTTCCTTGTATAATATAACCATTTATGCACTTAAAGCTAAAAGATGACTTGACATGTCCATGTTCTTTTCCTTCTCTGAGCGTGCAAACAGAACAGCACAAAAAAAACTTACATAAATAAATAAATCAAATACGATTAGTAATAATTTCCCAGAAATTGGTTGCAGCTGGAAGGGCATCCGTTGCATAAAACACACGCTGGATCAGTCGGCGGTTCATTCCTCTGTGGCAATCCCGTATTAATAAAGGGACTAAGCCGATAAGAAAATGAAAGAATTAGTAATAACAACAACATTAAATTAAGCATGTCTCATGGTGCAAATGTACAGGATTTTACTTTGACAAGGAATGAATGCAGACTTCTGGAAAGGGGGAGGCATATGACACAATAACCATTTTATCTCGAGTGATGTTTTTTCATAATCGTCATGGAGACTAAAATCGAAATCATTTTCTTATTAATTGCACATCCATGGTTGCTATTATGGTGGACTTGTTGCGAACTTGACTTCAAGTGGCTGAAACTTTTCTTTGAAATGTAGCTGCTTATGTGCATGTCTCAGCTGTGCACAGTAAACCTGGCTGAAGAATTTTGACAAAGCATTATTTTATTTTGGAGGTGATTAAATCTCTGAATATTGGTGGGAACACATCCCCCCTTGTCCATGCTGATTCTACACCCTTCTACAAAACCTTGCAATAAGCTGCCAGTACATTTTCTGTTATTTTACAGACTTATTTCTCTATACAAACATTATATTATTTCAAACTACTAAAATGACAATAAAAGTCACTTTGTTAAACTGTAGAGTTGAATTTTTAACATGTCTACATAGCAGAGATCAAGGTCCCAAAAAATTCACACCCATAATTAAAGAAAAAAAAACACAAAATACGGAAACTGTTAAGTAACAGATTGTTTTACAGTGTATTTGTCAACTGCTCCTGTATGTTTTTCTAAGGAATTAAACGAGTGTTTGGCAGCTGAATTATCCCGGATGCATTCATGCATGAATGGGGAGCTGAGACAGTCCCAGGCTCCTCAGGAGAAAGAAGCGTATCAGCTCGAGGTACAACTCAACACCCTGCTCACGTGGCAAAGTGGCCAAATTTCACACACAAGCTACTAAAATTAGCTGGGGATGTTTGACTGAACGCAGATTAAACTGATCTGCACTCTGACTTGAGTACATTTAATCGGCTTCCTCAGAAGAAGCCTTCATGGGGTTTTATCACCACACAGATGAGATTATGTCAAAGTATGTTTCATCAAAGTCTGTATGCATAAAAGCACACATGCTGTGTCTCGTTCTTTGTACGCTGCAGGTAAATCTCAGACTGAAGGAATCGGAGATTAAGTGTCTGAAGCAGGAGATCAACTCTTTGAAACTGGAACTTCAGGCAGGAAATACGGTAACAGTTTAGACGAACCAATTTGTAGTTTGAAGCATTAAATCTAGATGTTGGCAAAATCCACACATAAAACAAATCATTTGTTAAGAAAATATAAATGAGAGTGTAGTTGAGAGTCACAGTATATCTTAATACAGGGTTTCTCAACCATATTCCTGAAGGACCACCGACACTGCACGTTTTGGATGTCTCCTTTGTCTGTCACACCCAATACAGGTCTTTCAGTCTCTGCTGATGAGCTGATGATCTAAATCAGGTGTGTTTGGTTTAGGAGACCTGGAAATTTGGCAAAGCTGGTGGTTCTCTAGAAATGTGGTTGAGAAACACTGCCTTAATAGGTCACACTGAGTAATAAGGTTTCATTTGTTAATGCATTTACTACATAAACTAATAATGAACAATACTTGTAGAGCATTTATTAATCATAATTCAACATTTATTGAGCTCATATTGAAATCTGAATTCATGTTTGTTAACTTTAGGTAATGCACAGTGAGATAACATGAGTTAACTATGAATAACTATAATTTCGTTTACTAACGTTAACTAACATGAACAAATTTTGTAATAAATGTATTGTTCATTGTCTGTTCATGTTAGTAAATGCATTAACCAACATTAATTTATACAGCCTTATTATAAAGTGTTACCTTGTTGTGATTGTCAGTGGAGTTGTCTCTGCTGTCGCTTGAGGGCGAAGACTCACTGGTGCTTGAAGACAAAGGCTCACTAGTGCTTGAGGACTCAAAGAAATGTAAAAGTTCAGCCTGAGAAGACTGCCAGTTTAGTATCTGCTCCAGAAATCGCCTTTGAGTCTTCATTCTCAATTGTTGTTGAATTGTTGTTTTGTATATTTTTTCTGACTATTTTTCAAGATTCATTGAACCTTATTTTTCTAATATTGTTGAGTCTTAATTTTTAAGTTTTTTTGAGTCCTCAAACACCAGTGAGACTTTGTCTTCAAGCGCTAGTGAGTCTTTGCCCTCAAGCGCCAGTGAGCCCTTGCCCTCAAGTGCCAGCAGAGACAACTCCACTGGCAATCACAACACTTATTGTAAAATTTCTATCCAAAAATTAGGATCCATTTTTTCAGTGAAAATAGACAATTGCATTTAATTTTAATTAATTTTGGTGCATTTAAACAGAATGGTTTTATCAAGCATTTATAATTATTAAAATAAGAGTTTGATCACCTAGAATCTTCTTCATAGGAATAGAAAGAGAATACATTTAAATACGAATAAGGCATTACAAAAACTGGTCACTTTATTTTGATGGTTCGTTTGTTGAATTTAAGTTTCATTGCAACTAATTCTCATTAGATTATAAGTAGACTGTTCGGTTGGGGTTAGGGTTAGTGTAAGTTGACTTGTACTTGCCAAGTTTTTTATAGTCGGTTAAATGTCTGTTGAAGGAGCAGTATTAACAGATATTAAGCAGACAGTCTACTAATACTTAAATGGACCATCAAAATAAAGCGTGACCAAAACTACTAATACAAACTACAACATTTCAACTAATATTTTGTTGAATACTTCATAAAAATTTTATTTAATATTTTTTCCTAACAATTTAGTTCCAGTTTGGCTTTGGAACTGACTAATATATATATATATATATATATATATATATATATATATATATATATATATATATATAAATATAAATATCTTATTGTATGATCCCATAGAAAGTATTCATTAAAAAGCGTATAAGCCTATGCAACATACAGTAGGCTTATTCTGAAAGCGTACTCTTATATACATTTCTGGAGATCATGAATTATGTAGCCAGATTTATGTATGGCTGCATTTCGTCTTTAAAACAAACGCTACAGTGCGGTATGACGTCGTTCCTTTTCGCACCTAACTGCTGACCGCTTCCGTATCGGCGGCTTTTCCGCTGTTAACAGTTTGTCCGATGGCTTGTTGCATACATCGACGTACTTGTAACATAAAGTGAAGTTGATCGTGAAGACAGGGTGCTAGTTTGGCGAAGAGCGGTTCCAGAAAGCAGGTAAGACAAAAACAAAACCCTAAAAACACATCAAGTAAATAACGTGGTGAGGATGTGGTAAAATCGAAAAATGTGGTAAAATCAGACTGCTGCGAGTGCTTTTCTTTTTCTGGATTGCTTTTGAAAATGCTATCGGTTGGGTTTAGGGAAGGAGGATGGGTCAGTTGATCAATTAATCAGTCAGTCAACAGCGGCCTCTGGTGGACTTACGCAAGAACAGCAGGCAAGAATGGCACTTGCGAAAGAAATTTGAGATCTGAAATTTGTACACAGAGGCCTCTGGTGGATTCGTAAAAACAAACGGCTAAAGAAATGTACAGTACCTCCAGAGACGTCTTTGGCGCTCTCCAGAAATGTATATAGCGGTACACATTCAGAAAGCCAGGGTTGTAATTTATGCTGCACACTATAGTTGTTTTTTCTGTAAAAAATAAATTAAATAAGTGAATTTCTATGCTTAAATGGACAGTACACTGTTGCTGCAAAGTTTAAGTGTTTTCTCTAGTTTTTACAGCTTTTGTTTTTCTGTTTCAAATATTGGAAACACTATTGTAGGTAAAAGTTGTTTTTTTTTTTCTTTTTTAAATTTTTAAACCACTAACTATGACTTTTAGCTCAATAAACTTGCATAATAATAGTAATTAAGTTTGTTGTTGCGTTTAGGTATTGATAGGATTATGGATGTAGTATAAGATCATGCAGACTATGTACTTTAAAAGTACAAACACACAGCCAATATCTTAATAATAGACAGGTAATAAGGCACTATTAAAAAGTGAAAATTGGTAGTTAAACTAAAGTGTAAAGTTGTTTTTATCCGTTTAGCATTTTAAAGAGCTAGACTTTGAGTTGGGTATGGGAGAAGTCAAAACTCCAAGTGACTTCAGTCAAGCGAGGATGGTACCAGGCCGACAGGAAGCTTTGAAAAACGGTAAGCTGGTCTACTTGAACAGACTTGAACGTGTTATCGTGGAAGCAAAGCGATAAGTGCAGTTTATTCACTAGTTATAAATGCATGTGTCGCAGATCTGATGAAATCCAGGAGCAACCCGGACTTCCTGAAGGAGCGATCTGCACTTACACAGTCCGTCAGGTCCAAGGTGGGAGTCATCTGTGCAGTTGCTATACTAAATGCTGAGATTCCTGATGCTCTAGAAATGTAAACAATCTCACGCTCTTTGTTTTGCTTTTCAGAGTCTTAAAGATGGACTCAGTGTTCTGGAAACGATGAAGCTCTTTGAAGCACCCGGCACGCAAAAGATTTAAGTGTGTGTGAGAGAGAGAAATGTAAAGTCTTAAGTGGGTTAAATTAGTAAATAATTTGCATATCTTTATTACACAGTGCTACTGTTAGTGTTGTTTCATTTACTGCTTAAGATGATTTTTTGATATGAGGATTTCTCTTTAAATCTTAATATGTTTGTTTGTATTTACATGTTTATGTTTGATCAGTTTGGTTAAGCTCAAGATTTGTCTTTAACGTCTTGTTTTTGTTACAGTTCAGTCCACAAATGCAGGCTGTTGCATTGTATTATCATAATTTAATTAAATAATTTTGAATCTTTAAGCCGCCTGATGATCTGTTTTAGTACCTGAAGTTTGAACTTGTATATACTGTAGTTCATCGGACATTGAAAAGTTTGTCATCCTTTACTTACCCTTCACTTGTCACGGACCTGAGTTTTTTTTTCTGTTAAACCCAAATGAAGATATATTGTAACATGATGGAAACCGTTAACCTTCAACTATATTCGTTTTTTTTTCCCTTTGGAAGCCAGTGATTACAGTTTTCCAGCATTCTTCAAAATATCTCCTTTTGTGTTCAATACAACGCATATTTGGAACCACTTGAGGGTGATTAAATAGTGAGTCAATTTTCAATTTTGACTAAAATATCCATTTCAGAATAATTTCTATTTCCAAAATAATCTTCTTAAGAGTGTTATATCCTCTTTCTCCCTATGATTGTCCTGAAAACAAAACTTAAGTAAATTTTCATTTCAGGTGAACTGTGCCTTCAAAACAATGTAATAAAGTGAGATTGTCTTTACAAAATTTTTTAAGAAATTTACCATTTTTTTTAAAGTAATAGTTCAACCATAAATTAACATTTACTCACTGTTTGCTTATCCCCAATTGATTCAAAACCTTTATTCTGTTGAACTGATAATCAGAAAGGAATATTAGAAAGCTGAAAATCTGTAACCATTGACCTCTATTGGAAAAACAAAAAGGCTAAATATGCCCTTAACTTATTTCTCATGAAGACTTTCCTCACTTGGCCTACTAGAGGACATAACCAGACCCTTGCTGGATCCTCTTCTGTTTACCTACAAAGCAGACAGATCTCTGGACGATAACATGACACTACATTACATCCTGCTCCAAGACCTTAGCAGACCTGGGAATTACACCAAGATCTTATTTGTGGACTTAAGTTTGGCCTCCAATGCCATCATCCCTGATCTTTTCTCAGCCAAACTGAACCAGCTCTCTGTGCCTGTCCATCTGTCTGTACACACCTTTGCACATTCAAATTTTATCTGTTGATGTGTTGTTCTTCTTAATTGAGACCTGGACCACAAAACCAGTTGGATTTATTAAGAATAGCCAACAATGCATGGGTCAAAATTATTTTATGTTTTATGCCAATTATCATTAGAAAATTAATTAAATGCCATGTTCCTTAAAGACACATAAGTGTATAGTAATATAGTATAGTAAATATATTAAATTTAATTTTAGATTCGTAATATGCTTTGCTAAGAACTTCATTCGTACATCTTTAAATGTAATTTTCTCAATATTTCAATTTTTTAACCCTCAGAATTTCAAATACTTAATAATATTTCTGTCAACTTTTCTCTTATCAAACCATACATCAATTGAAAACTTATTTCTTTCACCTTTTAGATGCCAAATAAATCTAATTAATTAAATAATATTAAAAAAGCCATTACCGGGTATGTCTGGTTTTCTGATCCAGGGTTGCATTTATTTTTTTACAGCTTTCCATAACTGCAACAAAACAAAATTCACGGGTGATCATTACAAAACTGGCCTTGAATACAATTTTATTTCAGAATATAAAAAAAGCAGAACTTAAATAAATGCACCAAACAATTCCACAATGGCCAGAAGTAAGAGGACACTGGCGGGGCACTCAAGGGTAACAGAGGTATTCAACACCAGCAGAACACCTGCCTCAGTGCCCAGTTCTGCTAATAGCAAAATAAAAAATAATACAATTCTGCCCCACTCTCAGAATTAAAGGTTTCAAATCTGTCACTGGGGTGGTACCATTTCAAAAGGTACAGTTTTGTATCATACAGGTGGAAATTAGTACCTTTGGGGTACACCTTCGTATCTATAAGGATTACCTTTGTGCTTTTAAGGTACTGTGAGGTGTACATTTGTACTTGGGTATTATTATGTAAATTTAAGGACCTGTTAGGAACAAAACTGTACCCTTTAAAAAGTTACTGCCCCAATGATTTAGTTTATTTTTTGAGTGTAAGCCTATACAGAAATAATAGCAGGCAATAAACTGAACGCCTATCCAACCCAGCATTCCTTATTGCCAATCACAGGTGGGCAGAAGCCAAGAATAAGGATAAAGAAAAGAAGAGAAAGTGAATATCTGTTATTTTCTGAACTGAAGCTTCAGCTAAAAATCTTCTGTGTACTACAGAAAAAAAGTCAACGACATTTTTGGAGGGCTAGTTAAGGGATTAAGATGCCACCACAACTGTGTATTTTCCTTTTCAACCGCTAGATGTCGTACTTTGTTTGGAAACCTGTCGACGCGTTAAGTAACGTTACAAAGTTGTCAGTAAAAACAAACATCTTGCTGTACATTTCTGCTTAATGTTACAATAGTGGGATCTCCCTATTTGTATATTCATATATTTTCTCGAAGATTTAATAAGTCATATGTGAACTAGGTATTTGATACATTTCGTAATGGCCTATGGTGTGTTTTAGAGCGTCGAAAAGGCATTTAGCCAAAAAACTAATTAACCGATAGCATCTGAAGTGAGGACGGGCGGCTATAATTCCCTTATACAACAACGTCTCGATATCGTTTCACATCATGTATGCGCCTTGAAATGTTTTTCCTGGCTGTAAGTGTCTGAAATGCTGTGTTTTTATGTAAGCTAACGTTATAGACACACCGAGAGAGACTAGCGCGGCAGGTGTGCGAGCTTGCTAATTAAATTTCTGACGGCTCCTTTGTCAGTAATTACTTATGAATAATGCATGTTGCTTTGAAACGACGGCCTCTTCATTGTGTTACATTTTCACAACACTGATTAATTTTTAAAAATTGCATTCTCTGTCTCTTGTCTGTGTGTACAAAGGTCCATGCTGTTCAGCAATTCGTGATACCAGACTAAAACAATCCCCTGACTGCCAATTCAGCATCTCCACCTGAAAAGATGTTTTTATCGATATGTACAACAGGTAAATTGACATTTTAATTTGAAGGTCATGGGGTTTAAAACTTGCCTTTGGAGTTCTGGTCACAAAAAATACGGTATTAATACTAAATATAGTGCTTTTGAAACATACTAGTAAAGCACTTGAATTAATCTGTTGTGATAATTCTATCGTTACTGATGTAATACAGCAACTATAGAAATATAAACAAATTTCTGAATACCATACAGATTTCTACAAAGATGTAATAAACTACGCTAGGGCTGGGCCAAAAATGAAATTATATCGAATCACTATAAAATGTATGTCAATAACAATTGTAAGCTCTGGACTTACTCTATATTGATCTAAAAGCCATTCACACAGCAGAAATATGCAACAATGGGATTCTAGAAGTGTGTTGATTTTAGAGATACACCAAATTTTCATCCACTAAATATTATCGGCCACCAAAAATAGGTTAACCTATGTTATTTAATGGACCCCCTGATTTTTGTGGCTTCAGTCAATGTTGGGATACTCTTTTTAAATATGGAAGCATTAACAACTGATATCGAAATATTGTTATTGTTCAATATTGAAAGTAATTAATCAAGACTTCCTTTTTTTCCATATCGCCCAGCCCAAAAACTGGAAATAATTATAAAACTATACAAACTAGTTGTAAATACTATATTCGGTTTACTAGTATGATTCAAAAACACTATAGTATTTTCTATAAATTGCTATAGTATTTTTTCCTGTAGGTTTTCTTCTTCGCACAGTACTGTCACCTCATTTTAGAAATCAGATCAATAACTGACTAAATACCTTTCACCTTAGACTAAAAAGTGGAAGCTTTTTTTCTGACTCTTAACAAGTATTACAATATTTCTTTAACTCTGTAGACTGTAAATCGTTTATAAATCTGAATATTTTCACGAACAAAAAGTGCATTCAGGGAATAATAAACCAAATGTGTGTACATAACATCATTGTTGAATTAATCAAGCAGTGTTACTCACCAATTGGCTGGTAACGTTTTTATTTGATTAATATGAACAGATTTTTAATTCATTTCATCAATAACTGTGTAAAATGCACTTACTGTTTCATGACTGAAATGAATGAAGTCCCTAATTACCTGTAAGATGACAGAGGATGGTAAAATTTGGTACATATATATGGCAGAGTATCTGTGGGGTCTTAAAAAGTTTTAAAATGTCTTAAATATCAAAAGCTAATATTTAGGCCTTAAAAAGTCTCAAATCTACTGAAATGTTGTGTTGTAAGTCTTAAATCTTTCTTAACAGGTCTTCATTTTCCTTTGTTTATGTATAGCAATCTGGCCATTAACACCCAAACAATGACCAACAATCCATCTCAATAAAACTTCTAACTTTTTATTTAAAAATAGCTTTTAATTACTTTAAATTTAGTAACATTTGCTTAAAAGTTCTCCATTTATTTACTGCTGAGGAAACCTACCCGACCTCTATTTTCTGTTAATAAATAATTATTATTACTTTATACTGAAGTCATTGACAGCTGTGTTTTGTTCTATTCTTGGTAAGGGTTATAAGGTTTGTGACTAAAAATATTTGGAAATTAATAAAATAAATATATATTTTAATTAATTAATTAATTTTAATCATTTTTGATAGGGCTTTTGAAAATCTTTTCCAGCTGGGATATTATAAAAAGCACTTTAGCATTTAGCCCTGTATAAGTCTAAAATTTAATTTCTAATGGTCTTAAAAATGTCTTAAATTTAGCTTGGTGAAACCTGCAGAAATTCTGTATGGTAAAACAATCAATTAATGTAAATGATTATTAATAGGCTTGTGCTTCATCCCGCTGCATTTCGACCACGTTAAAATGTATTTTTTGTTAAAGAATTTTTATGTATTTTATTTATGTTTGAAATAAATAAATCAAATCAAATAGTTTTTGAAACATTTAGATTAACTAATTAATAGAAATAGTGAATTAATAAATTGATAAAACTAGGGAATGTTAGCTTAAATACGGCACTTTAAGCACAGTTCTGGATAGAGCCACTAAATAATGTGTTTAAAGAATATTATGAATTACAGAAAGGTTCAGTTTTTGTAGCTTATGGAATATAAAATATAATTCTATTGAAAA